AAAAACTTGTTTTCGTCACATTGACCCAGGACTTTAGACAGGCATAGTAAATTTAATATTGACTAGTATGCGTTTCAACACATAGTCGCGAAAATGCTAGCATCCCTATACAATGGTAATCACTTCCTATTACTATTTAAGCAAAATAAGTATAAGATAAACTATCAGAGTGCAATATTCTTACTTAAAATTTAGTGCCTGTGTATTATAAGAGTAAAGAGAGTAGTACAGTGTGCTTGGCACAGATAACCCCAATAGATTCCACGTACAGGGCCACAAATGTTCACAGCACATTAGTGATTTAGCTAGTATATGGAGTGACGCTAAGAATCACGACATCAGTGTCGACCAACTTTAAGACCCGTAAACACACCGAGTTCTTGCCAATATTTAAAGATTATTTAAAGATAGTTTTAAATTCAAATAATATTATAAATGGCTTCCTGCGCAATAAAATGGTGTGGCAAGTCATCTTGGGGGTTATCTGTGGCTTGGTGCGAGTTTTTTAACGTTCTCGATAGCGTAAAAGTTAACTCAAATTTACATGCAGTTGGAACAGCGCCCCTAGCGGCACACGTAGGCAAACGTTCCAACTCCATACAAATTTAAGTTAACTTTTATATCGAAACATTAGAAAACTCGCATTAAGCACTGTACTTACAATACGACTAAAGAAGATAGCATAGTATGTGGTACTAATAAAATTTGTGCAAATTTCAATTTTTTTTTTCCTTCCTAATCTGACAGCCTTGAGAGGCTATTTCAGCGTAACCTTAACTAGTAGGTGAACTCGCGGGGCTCAACCGGAGAATTGCTAACACGAACCCTAGCAAGAGCCGTGCTTCGCAGAATCTACCACCGGATCGGAAACGCGACCCACTGAGAAGATCCGGCGAGAAACTCAGTGGGCTGTGTCTGAGGGTTAAATTTCAAAGCTGTCAAAGCCGTCTTCATGTGGACGAATGTCGCGTTTATTATTCATTTTATAACCATAACATTCGATTCAAATTCGTAGGAAACTGTTCAGGAAGAGGGTGATTGGAGAGATATGCTCCACACTAAAAGCTGCCCTCTCCCCCTTTGCGTTCTGTCTCATGCGAGGCTCGGACGTGGGTTGTTGAGCGACAGGAGGTTTTAGTCGATTCGACTCCAACATACCCCGCCCGCCATCCCCAGTGGAGGGCGGAAGACCGGCGATTTCCTCGAGCCCAAAAATATAATAAACCGATCCATTGGCGAAGGTTGCGTGCACAAAACAAACTAATATAACAAATATAGGATTATATTCAGAGAAACATTCAAATCCAAGATAACAGTGGAAACGACATGTGTTCGCGCAAGCTGTGTACAGTACTTTGGGCCCCCGGAGGGTTGCTTCGCTGATTCGGATATATTTATTCAGGTAAATCAACTAATAGACTATATAATCCCATTTGCCACAATTTTGCATCGTGTATTTTACTATAAACTAATGTTCCTAAATATCTCAAATAACCACAAAACATGTTAATGATAATAAGTTCAATCGACACACAATGTTAAATAAACAGAGTTAAACAAAATTATAGTAGGTAGTAGATATTTTAAATGTGTGTTTGAAATCAATTAAATAAATAAAAGTTCTTCCGTCGACAATAAATAAATCAGTTACTGCGTTATATTATTAAACAGCAATAAATGAGAAGAAAAACAGGTGCAAACTATATTAAAATAAAAATACTCGCGTCGGTTCTCATCAGGTTTACACGTCTAAGGCATCGCGTTACGAAAGCTTATTGTATCTCCTTTCCTTAATTTAAATACATCATATATACACAAATATATAATATAAATATACATAATTTCGAAAAAAAAAAAAAACACGTTTATTTGAATTACAAAGAAACACCCTTCGAGTATAAGTGTAAAACAATGACCCTTATAAACGTTTCCAAATCGACAGGGCTTTAAGCCAGATTCATTTAACAATAAGTTTACATCTATTTGGTGCAATCAAAACCTTTTGTGTATATTCGAAGCGAAGCGAAGCGGACATCAACCGTTAGAGTACTCGAAGGACTCCGCTTCAAACATTACACGTTTTGGTAATTCGACAATCTTTAAAACATCAACAAAGTTATGTATTAATTCTATTAATCCGAGATATATTCAATTAAGATTTGTAATCAATGTTTATGCATAAATATATTCACTAATTAGTACTTCAAGTCTACGTATTATAATTTGATTAAGACCTGACCTCCCGAATCCATTCAATATTTACAAACCTCACTATATTTTATTTGACTATCACATTTCAATTGTATTTTTATCCATCTCATTTCCTAACGTTGAATTTAAAAATTACCGTTTATTATTTACCTTCCATTTACACAAAATAAAAGTTAATATACCTACACATTTTTATTTATTTCAATATTAAGTAACGCGTTTAAGTAAGTCTCTAATTAAACTTACGATTTAATCATCAAATCAAATTTACGAAATGTAATGAATATAATGCAAGTAAAAATGTGATCCGAAAAAAAATATACAACCAAAATTACAGTGAGATAAAAGCGGGTAGTTTTTGATTAAGTTCGTATCGACTTATGGCTTTTTGACAGATTTAACATCTAATAGTTAATTTACCTGTTTTTTTTTTATTTCAATGCAAAATATGTAATATTTTTATTATCATTATTACATAGGCCACTTAAACAAACAAGCGTCCTTGACAGGCACATTCGATTGTACAGAATTATAACGTCTATTATTATTTTTTAAATATATATATTTATCTCATACATTTCTTTAGTAAAACTAATTGATTACGATGAAAATGTTTAACTCATGCCGAATCACCAAAAACGAATTATTTCTAACAGGTTGGCACAGCACGGGGCGTGTACGTAAGTTAGTTATAATAATCAGTTTAGTTAGAAACTGAAAGCTAACCAGAGACAGAACGTCAACTGAGAATGCGTAAAAAAGACACTGCTAAAAAAAACAAAAAAAAAAACAAATCGGTTCTAATGCTCTTTGCAAATGAAAATATATCCTATATACAATAAGAATTGAGTGAATATGTTAATAAACAATTATTATACTTCTTTATCTTCACAAAATCTGAAGCGTTCGGTGTGCTTAGTGCGAGTTTTTTAACGTTCTCTCGATAGCGTAAAAGTTAAGCCAATTCTGTATGCAATTGGAACAGCGCCCCTAGCGGCAAACGCACGCAAACGATCCCATTCCATACAAATATGAGCTAACTTTTACGCTATAGAAAAAGTTTAAAAATTTCGCACTAAGCACACTGATGTCACGGAGAGCTTACACGTCCGCAGTCCGGTAGCGATTCAACGCATCATCGCAAATAGCATTTCAAATAACAGTGAACAACTTATGATTTATTCATTTCACACCAGCACAGAAATAACAAGAGTATAATATTATAATATTATTAATTCATTAAATCATTACTCATTTTTCGTACGAAAACTACTATTCAGAGTTGAGAAACATAACCACAATCAATTATTACGTTCTGTATGTACAAATTTGACAAGATAAAAATTAGTAGCTACTAATGTAAAATTTAAGATGTTTTAACATGTTCAAATTCCTAGTAGACGTAAATTTTATTTGGATGAGACAATCAATTCGTCAACTTACAGGGGGATCAACAGAGTTCGTCGGGAGCACAATCAAAAGTCAATTTGCGAAGTTTTAACTCTATAATTGACTATTTTTGAGAAATTGTGCCAAAAATATTTTTCGGCAAAATTATGAAAAAAATCAACAATTTTCTGTGAAGCAGTATTGTAAGGTCGCACACAATTGCAAAAATTACATTTTACGACCTTCAAATCGAAAGTGCATTATCTATAGAAAATGGAATCCGGACATTTAAAACATCTTAGGTTTAAAAAAAAAACTACAGACCAGCGGCAGAGTTCCTTTACAAACATATTACTCAATTGTTGTTTTTGCAAGACGAAACAAGGCAACTAAAAATTAAAATATGTTGCCATACTAACTAATCAAAACTTTTATTTCAAAAATAGAATTAACATGCAAAAAATATTTTCAGTGTCTGGCAATATACGAATGAATATGCTACTACTTCATATTTACAAATCATTATGATTTTTACTCTTCTTTTTTCTTCTTCAAAATATCACATCACAAATGCTGGTGCAAATATTAGAACATTGGAACATGAATCGTACTAGCTGAACCTACTACTTGAAAAATCAATAAACATTTACATGTACGACGGCACGGTTAGGAAATACAATTGATGTTGACGTAAATACATAGGACTATTTATTGATCTCATGCCCGACAGTAACGCGGTATCACACTACGTAATCCAATACAATTACATCCAAATATGATATAGTATTCAGGACACAAAATACTTTACGTTTTTTATTCCGTTCCCATCATTGAAAGTCTGCATGCGACAATCAAATCACAGTCGTGGTCTACATAGCGCGGCTAGGATCTTTATGAAAACAAATGCAATTTTTGAGGAAGGCGAATACATATCTTTAAGTTTAATATAATATTTAACTTATTTGTATTATGTAAAATGCAGAGAGCCTAATCTAATCAAGAAATCAATAATTAATCGACTAAAATACATTAACTCAATCATTGCAGTCGATACATTATTATTTAGTTATTTTACAACAGAAAACTTAATATGCTCCGCTGCATTTGATAATGCAGAATATCTATATTTTAGATCGTTGTGGCACTGTATATTTCATTTAAGATACCACATCTTGCATTACAGTGAAATAAATGAGTATCTCAATATTTTTCATGAAGTTTTTGGCATTTCAAACAAACGTGAGTTTACTTACTGGTGGTAAGGACCTCTTGTGAGTCCGCATGGATAGGTACCACCACCCTGCCGTGAAGCAGTAATGCGTTTCGGTTTGAAGGGTAGGGGCGACCGTTGTAAGTATACTGAGACCCTAGAACTCACATCTCAAGGTAGATTGCATTTACGTTGTAAATGTCTATGGGCTCCGGTAACCATTTAACGCCAGGTGGGCTGTGAGCTCGTCCACCCGTCTATGCAATCAAAAATAAAAAGTGTTTCACAAAATTACAACGCGTACTCTTTTCCGCCGCCTTCATAATGATCCTGGTCGCTTTACAAGTGAATATGGGCGGTGCCGTGTCCCGGGCTGTGAGCGGAGTAGGTGCGGCGTTACGGCGGGGAGACGCGGCGCGCAGCGACCGGCTCAGTTGTATATCTTGATGGCCTTCTCCAAGTAGTTGACGCGGGATCGCTTCGGCGTCTTGTTGATGTGCTCGAGCCCGAACCAGGGCCGCGCCGTTGCGTCTGGGTGCGACAGATCTATATTAAATTTTAGTATGAATTCTTTTTAGAATACGGTTCTATGCCTTCAAAAAATGTTATAACCATAAAAATATTTTTGGGTAAATTCTGGCAGTGGTCGATTTTGATACAAAAAAAACATACTCACTCGTATTACTACTTAGTCTGAAATCGTTGATATTCACTGTCGCTCCTTCGCTTATGTAATTAGGTCTGCCGTTTGTCACTACAGCAAAGTTGTACTGAAACAAAGACGTCTAGCTGTTACGAACATTGTATTAATTTATATTTACAATTTAAGTAGCACCTGATATTATTTTGTCATTTTGAAATTTTGATAAATAATCTTAGGATTAACTCATTTTTATGGGAACCAAATGATTATTTTATTTTGTAAACTGTCAACGAAACTTCGTAGATGTGAATATTGGAATAAAGCACAATCTAATCGTAGATGGTTAATGCAGAACGATTAGCTACATGTGACAGCCTGTATTGTCATTCGTTTTTATGCTTGATGTCAAAGACAGATAACAAACATTCGAATTATTGAGATTAATTTTATTTGAAATGTACTTTCCAAAAGTGCGATATAAATTTTATATAATAATATGTATTTAATAATCATCCTACCATTTTTATATAATTTTTTTTTTATTGCTTAGATGGGTGGACGAGCTCACAGCCCACCTGGTGTTAAGTGGTTACCGGAGCCCATGGACATCCACAACGTAAATGCGCCACCCACCTTGAGATACAAGTTCTAAGGTCTCAAGTATAGTTACAACGGCTGCCCCACCCTTCAAACCGAAACGCATTACTGCTTCACGGCAGAAACAGGCAGGGTGGTGGTACCCACCCGCGCGGACTCACAAGAGGTCCTACCACCAGTAATTACGCAAATTATAATTTGGCGGGTTTATTTTTATTATACGATGTTATTCCTTCACCGTGGAAGTCAATCGTGAACATTTGTTGAGTACGTATTTCATTAGAAAAATTGGTACCCGCCTGCGGGATTCGAACACCGGTGCATCGCTTAAACACGAATGCACCGGACGTCTTATCCGTTAGGCCACGACGAATACGATTATATAAAATGATTAGAGATACCCACCTACTAATTTCCAAAATTACTCAAATTACACAGTTAAAGCAATCACACTAGGTTAAACGTAGAACATTTTTTCAATCGTGTTACAAAGTCAGCACTTAAGCTGCATTACCTTTTCCCATTCTTTGTCGGGTATGTCGAGTTTCTTCTGTAGGCGATCTTTGACAGCTTCGAACGGTTCGTTGTGTTTGAAACGCGCGTAAAACGGAATTCCGAACGTCGCGTATACTTGCTTGTAGAAATGCGCACACGGAACCAGCATCTCATCCTCCTGTTTAGAATAATTATAAAAATTAAAAAAAATATTGTAAAATTAGATGTTATTGGAGAGAAGTATTCTTCTATATCGTTCCCTCACAGTGTTCGGTCATGGGTGGCATGGACCGCATAATACAAAATACCACCAAGTGCTTGCCTTACTAGATCTGACCATCTGGCTGCCCACGGCGCGCTTGCCCTCTATGTGACCCGAAGTATTAGAAGAGCATATTTTTTTTAAGATTTCTTACTAATCACCCGTGTCCTCGATTACACAATATGCATTTAACATATACAAATTGACTACATATTACATGAACAAATCCAATTTTTTTATTAATCTTACATCTTACAATGGCTTCGAATGACAACATTCAGAAGCCCTTAAGCTCATCATTTACTGGTGGTAGGACTTCATGTGAGTCCGCGCGGGTAGGTACCACCGCCCTGCCTATTTCTGCCGTGAAACAGTAATGCGTTTCGGTTTGAAGGGTGGGGCAGCTGTTGTAACTATACTAAGATTTTATTACTCATACCTCATGGTGGGTGGCGGCATTTACATCGTAATGTCTATAGGCTCCAGTAACTACTTAACACCAGGTGAGCTGCGAGCTCGTCCACCCATCTAAGCAATAAAAAAAAGCTCAATCGCTAACTCCTGCTTTTCTTTAATATTTGAATGTAAATCTGTCAGGCACCTTAATGTGAGAGTGGTTAATTGGTAAAGAATACGATCATTCTTACTTGTAAATTCAGTTCGTCTCTAGGTATCTCCTCTATTCTGTAGAGTCTGGGCGGCGATATGGTGACCTGGTCGAGTGTGAGCTCGGGGTCCGGACCCGGTAGCACTTTGTGACACGACACCTCCACGATCCTTAACCTGGAGGGACAGAATTTTATCATGTCAATTGAAGCTTTTTGACTTTTTTTAATAGAGAGGTCATTGACCAGATGGTGTTAAAAGAACATCGCTGGTCATTGACACTTGCTATTCCAGGGGCACACTCAAACCGCTTTTCGAATTATCTTATCTATACATACTATTAACTAAGATCGTTTCTACAAAGCTTTTTGGAATAAACTTCCTATGTAATCTAATCGAGATTCGTAGTCATCGAGCATAAACTGTAGCGAAATTAATTATAAAATAATCCATAATTTATATTTTCAATGGACTTAGGGCAAATCTCGGATGCATTATGGTGACATCATGAAACAGATTTAGGTGATTTAAATGTAGTGGATTTAAATCCCTTTTCATTATATGTTTGTATGTTTGTACAGTTCTAAGGCGCTGTAGGTTATTATTATTGCCAGTTACATTTTAATGACATCTTTAAACGAGGTTACAGATAATTATAGTAGTCAATGAACAGGACTTATATACATAATTGAAGACTTCAGTGGATGAAGGGGTTAAGTACCATTTTTAAGATTTTTTAGTTTTTACACTTAATGAAGGTGTTATGTGCCTTTAAGTCATATTATACCTTAAAACATTAGGTTTAAAGGCTATTTTTAGAAATTGCATGTGATGAAGGGGTTATGTACGAAAAAAAAGTACAAGTAACAAAAGTTTGTTGCCAGGTTAAAATTAACAAATTGTATGATATCCCCTTTATCCATTCATATCTTCAATTACGAATTCAATGATTTTTTACCCAGTTATTATCAATATGATTAAATGTAAGATTGAAAACAATACAAACCTGCCTGAGCCCTCGGTTGACATCTCGACTACTTTAGCTGCCTCTTCTAAAATGTCCGACACTTTACCACCTTTATTTGGATACAAAATTAATTCTTTATCCTCTTTGTAATTTGGACCAACCTAAAAATAAACAAAATAATTACTACAACGCCTATTATTTTTACTGAATATTTGCATTTCATAGAAACCTGAAGTTGAACAATTAAATATTTAACGCGTTACCGCGTTGTTTACCCGATAATATCGAAACTTTGCAAAACTGTTATCAACCATCAACTGGGTGTATCATTTCAAGGCATTAAAATAAGTTGTGTTTTTTTTATTACGTTGGGAGGGAGATATACAATACTTAGAGACCACCACTGCCCATTCTCCAGTGAATCCCTTAGTCACGTTTTACCTTACCCACGGGGCGGGTAGGGGCGATGCAGTACTAACCCGACAGACAGTCAAACATTAAAATCCTGTCACAATAAATGTCCTTAATAAACACTTACCCATAGACATTTGAATTGCTTCTTGTTGTCCAATTCGTTTACTTTAATAGATAATATCTGATAGAACAATTTCTTAGGGCATTTTGGTTTGCAGTACACTAATAAGTCCTTAAGTATTCCGTCGTATGAGTATCTCAAAGGTAGTCCTGGGGTGTCCTTGTAGCTACAACAAGTGGACACGAAATATGACATTCAGTAGTAAATCAAACAAACGAAAGAATGTCACACTTAGAAATCATATCACATTAAGAATTGTAATATTACTTATTTTTTATTATTTATCTAGTTATGTAATTGAATAAAATCGTTGAAAAGAAATGCCCAAATGGAATTACATAGTTTAATTTTAATAAAGGATCATTATTGTTGTATTTTTACAATATTGGCAAGGTGACGTCACATAGCCCAGCGAGTCTGTACCCCACCTGATTATTTTTAGTTGTTATTATATTAAGTTAATTATTTACTAGTGGACTTTCATTAAAGTTTTATTGTTCCTTGGTAAATTATTAATTAATTATTAATAATATACCGAGGTGTAGTCAGAAACTTGAGCCTTGCATTATGGATGAGGTCAAGGCCTGAATTCAGAAAGGTAGTTGTTACATTAATACTTACTTTTGACACTTAAAGAACTGTATTAAGTATGGGTCCACGTTGAGCCTCTGGCCGACCGCCCGCGCCATTTGATCGTAGCGCATTTGCATCGATAGCTCCATTGTGAATCTGTTGAAAATTTATCAGGAAGCTTTAAATTATCAGGCCATGCAATTACACGACCCTAGCATTGAAATTCAACATTATACTTAGAATACCTAAAAAGCTTTTTGTCCGAACTTTGAATCTCTATGTGATCCCCTAAGGCAGCGGTCAGGGAACCGGGGTAAATTACCCCACCCAAATGGGGTAAAATGAAAATTTGGGCGGTAAAAATAAAACTTTTGTGAGTAAAAAGTATATATTGAAGTGAAACTTCTAGAATCGTTCAATTTTTAGTTATTGTTTTCTTTTCAAAATTATCATATGAAAGATGCTAAAAATGAGCGATTTCGTTTTTTTTGTTTTCGCCATGGGGTTCGCCATCAACTTACACAAAAATATTTTGGGGTAATCATTAAAAAAGTTCCCCGACCGCTGCCCTAAGGTTTGTACGTGATCAAAGGTAGCTTTAGATCAGAAACGAACTCACCCCGGATCATTGGGCACCGTTTTATCGACGAACTGCACCTCGACCTTGTAGAAGATGTACTTGAAGTAGTCCTGGCAGGTGGGCAGCTCCAGCTCGTCGTGTCGGTTGTCGGCGCGTTCGAACACAATGATGTCGCCGTCCATCAGCTCGTCCAATACCTGGTCGCGTGCACACGACTCAATCCGAGGGTAGGCCGGGCCGCTCAGGGCCGGCACGGTCCGATACCTTGCACAAACACACACCGATCTGTGTGTTCGTGCATTGTACTTAATGGCCCAATGTCTATGTCGGATTTGGTACTGATAGTAAGCTAACAAGTCCCGATATGAATGGAAAGCTGGTAATAAGGGAGAGTGGTAAAATCACTGGGTTCCATTCAAGATTATTTACCCCGCATGAAGCAGGACATGTCATAGACATGCAGTCTAAGAAATTTTATTCTAGAGCTTGACAATACATGGTAAAAATGGTCTCTGGGAATTCACTATAAATGAGTGCAGTGGAAATACGATCAAACGTTCCTTTCTTTCATTTAACAAACACTATCTGAGACTACTCATCTATAAATAAAATAAGTATGTATTACAAAAATGATAAATGATATAATTCTAAAACAAAGTCATGTAAGATACCAAACAATTGCATTCTTACTTGGAAGAAAAATGCGTAACAAATTATACATTTCCATTTCATTAAACCAATTTTAATTTAGCTTATTGAATTGGCTATGTCTATGGTTAGCTTATAAATATCAGTTAACACATAGAATCATTTTATAATATAAAAAAATGTACTATTAATTTAATATCATTTATGTATTCATGTCGATGGAAATAGTACTTTATAAATCATAATAATTCTGCAATAATGGAAAAAGTTTGGTTCTCACATCAGTTCTAAATCATTTTATCAAATTTGATGAATTGTTATAAAAACTAATAAATAATACCTTTTCTAGAGGTTCGTTGTAATTACTGATTTTTTCAACAAAGTCTGGTTTGATTTCTTCATACAGAACTAGTGGAGTGTCTGGTGGGAATCCTGAAAAATATGGTTAATTTTAGATTAATTGTATGCTTAAATTACTAATATGTATGGTTTTGAAATGGTGATGATATACTTGTGCTTTTAGCTTCTTACAGATAAAAATACAGATGTAGATAATATTGCTAATAAAAGTATTATAATATGCCTAGAAAAACAGCGTTAGAATTTAAGCTAGAAAACAGATTATGATTCTGAACATTATCACGTCAGTCTGATTATTATTAACAACATGAGATAGCGAGATTTAGAAACCCATCAGTCGACCCATTAACTATTGTTATCTTTATATAATGTAACTCTCTTCTGAATCCGACTTTGATGTAATTGAAATTCTAATTATAAAAAAATGAAAGATGAAAGGATTACAATACTAAGTTCTCTAATGCTGACATGTTTTGTTTGTCACTTGTAGCTTATAGAAAGGCGGTTTTGGAATATTTATTCTTGGTGATTTAGTCCGATGTGTATTATTAAATTTTGTAGTGTAAGTTGATGTGTGTGAGAATAATATGTGCGTATTGTGTTGCTTTTTTTTGTTTTTTTTTTGTGTAAACTTAAATATCTAAATTTCTCTCTTTTTTTTCTTTTTACACTCTCTATTTAAATGTTATTTGGATGGTGGAAACATGTTTGGTTATTGTTTTGCTATTTTTTAAAATATATGTTTATTTTCCCAAATAAATAAATAAATAACAAATACGATTCATACCTGCACGTTGATTGAGTATAGGTAGAAGATCGGCAGGTTTGCTTGCGATGGGCAAATAATGGTGTCCGCAGTAGTGTATGCGCTTCTGTTTAGGATCATAATACTTAAAAAACAGGACCACGTCGTTCTTCTTATCGAACCAAGGCAATGATGTGAGACCAGAATCTGGAGGCAGCATCTCGAGGAATATGTTCCATGGGTTCATGTTCTCAGAAACGTCAGCTACAGTCTTGAGTTGATCGTTAAAAATGTCTAGGCAGGTCGGTCTGCATGTCTGAGAACAAAATATTTTATGCTTTATCTATTCCTTTACAATAAATTAACTTGTAAGCGTGTTGTATAATTAACATACATATGTGCCCATAATTATGAAAGCGATCATAGTCATATATTTTTTGTGTCTAGATATTTAATAAATTGCATTGCATTGCATAAATAAAAATATTAATGTCCTATACATTATATGACATTTTAATTTTTAATTTTGATATCTTTATAATATAGGTTTTAATATATCATTTTCCAAAGGTTTGTGTGTAAAATGTCATAAATTCACAGTTGCAGATCTATTTACAAACTATACGTTACCTGATTAGAGCGTGCGCTAAATGGCCAGGGTCGGAGCTGCTGCAGTGGATACTTAAAGTTCTCTGACAATATCTCCATGAGTTCAGAGACGGTGGCCTGCTTCCTGACGCGGAACACGCGGTAGTGCGCGCGCTCCGGGTCGTACAGATCGTTCCCTTGATGACCGTCGAAAGCTTCCTCCAATACTACATTCACGTTCATATACAGGTGGGCTTCGTTCCGCTCTTTGCGACGAATCTGGAAAGCGAAGAATAATAACTTGAGGAATATTGTAGGACCGCATTGTAAAAACTTGCCTACTAATTGCGATTTGATTACACAATAATTACACCAATTATTACTTTTTTTTTATCCTACCTAAGCTGATAGCCTGGAGAGGCTATTTCAGCGTAACCTTAACTAGTAGGTGAGCTCACGGGGCTCAAACCGGAGTGATGCTAACACTGACCCTAGGAAGAGCAGTGCTTCGCAGAATCTACCACCGGATCGGAAACGCGACCCACTGAGAAGATCGGACGAGAAACTCAGTGGGCTGTGTCTGTGGGTTAATTCGCTCGTCGAGCCCTTCGTCGCAAGCGACGGGTTCAACGAGGACGGTGACCGGAATTATTACTGCAAGGCAGTTGATATTACAGCCTCATGTTTTAGGCGAGGACTTGCATGTTGCGATGTGTATGAACTTCAGTAATCGATTGCTTGTGCGTTCGTTCGCCTAACGATAGATCGTAGGCCAATAAATAAAAAAGAAAAATAAGAAATACCGTAAAAGATATTCGCTTTAGATTTAAAATTTTAATTTATTTATGAATAGTGAAAAGGATTTTTTTTTCGATAGAATAACTTTGTAGATTAAATAAGACAAAATATTTACGGTTTCGATTCTCTTCTCTTCAGCTAATCTCTCACTCAACTCAGTAGGTATGTCTGCTTGTGTTACTTCTTGTAGAACAGTCTTCAACTGTGAATCCCTACAAATTGACCAAAATGACGTCTAATTTAATCCTTCATAGACAACCTTCAAGGTAGAACCTTCATTTACAAATGGTTTCATTAACGAAAATTTAAAAACATCTGTTTAACTACACATATAGCTAAACTGCATTTGTATAGTTAATAAATGTAATCCTGTAATATTTTATTGTTTTTCTATTATAACTAAAACGTTTGAACTTATTTATATTTTAATATTATTTCTAAACTATAACATATTTTCAAGTTTGATAACAAAATTTATCATCAATTTGGTCTCATCAGTCAAACCACCCTCGAACCTTAAATGTCTGTAATGTCTGTCAATAGGTTTTCATGGAATTTCTGTGAACCAAATTCATTTCATGACCTCAAAGTTATCAGTGTCAGGATTGGAAGGAGTAAGCCCTGAATAAAGCAGTCTGGAGAGACATACTGGACCAGGCTAAGGCCCACCCTGGGCTGTAAGGCCTAAGATCATGATGAAATTCATTTCATAGGTTTTAAGTACTGTCTTTACATTACTCATTACCCCAAATGGTTTAGCTTGAAACATGTATTAGTAATGCAATTTATTAATTTTCCCCGCTCAGTTCTAATGTGTAAAGAACTAAAATTCAAAAATTTAATTAGGTTTTAATACTAGGGGCTATTAGTGATTACAATGTGCAGATAGTACCTGATATAAACCAACATATAGGCGTTAGTGCAGTGGCGAACGGTCAACGTCATGTCCTCGTCGTGACCGCCGTAGTTGTATTCGATGGCCTCCTGTTTCGTGCACCGGGACACCACGTCGTCGTCGAACTTACACCACTGAACAAAACCAATAATAATTAAATTATTTAAGGGATTTTATGACCTGGTAACTAAGACCTTTAAGTCATGTCTTATTTTAATTTATTTTCTTATTTTTATGAAAAATTATAAAATGAAATGAAGATGATTAATTTGAGACATTAATCAACTGGGATGAAATCAAATGAAATGAGATGAGATGATATGGGATGAAATATAATCTCAGTAAAATGGTGGTCATCTACTGAGACTTTTTCATTTGACTTTTTGGAGGATCCCGAGAAGTGACGTCCAGTGGCTTTGTTTCATTTTCCCACATTTGTGCACTTTCACAGATTTTAAAAATTAATAAACCACCGTTATTACACATTTAAACCTGAAGAACCACTAAATAGACAAAATAAAACAAATCACACAACTTCACTCCTCGCGTTCCCGCCAAAAAGTCCATAATAATTAAATATTGCCTTCACTGCAACTACCGTCAGTTGTATGCATGAGACGCACTGGTTGAAGCGCCACCTTGTGTAAGGTGATGGTACTGAGACAGACGAATGAAAAAAAAACCTGCTAAAACTACTTCAATCGAACGAACAATACGATAAGTCAAGCGAATTATTATTTTATAGCTTCATAACTAAGTTCCATTGTTTTTAACGAATACCTTTATAGTTTATCTGACAATTATATCAAATTTGCTTAAAGCTACCTTTCTAAAGAGTCGTAACGACAAACAGTCAAAAGCATCATGTTTTAAGCAAAAACATGTTATGTATATTTAAAGACACACAAACCATTTTAAATTCGTGAAACTAAAGTTAGTCTAGTGTGTATTTTCCAAGGCTATCAAAAAGAAAATAAATTAATGTTTTGTTTCATTCATTAACAAACAACAGAAAAATATCATCATTTGAATTGAATTGAATTTGTTTGTAAAAACAGCGTCGAGATCAGTTTTAAAATGATTACATCAGCGATTAGTTTACAGAGAAAGAAAAGTGAATAGGTAGAGAACATATCACTATCTCTTTTGTACACCCACACCTTAACGACAGTGATGTCACCTAAAAAATATGTCTATAAGCTATATTATTTATTCATTATTTAATAAAAAAAAGTACGAAAAAATAAGACAACATTCTTTTGAAACAGTGAACATTTTCTTTCTTTATCAATATGATTTGCATCATACCTTTCCGTCACCTTTCGGATTGATAAAGACCACATAATGCCCCCCGTGGTTGTCTCCCGAGTGAACTAATACCGCATGGAGGGTGTAGTCAGCCGGTGTTTCTGGTTTCTCCTGTAGATATGCATCTAAATTGATACGTTCGTAGAATTCAAATCTAAAAACCAAAATACAATTTTCATCAAGTAATTGTAAATTATTTCAACTAATAAAAAAAGTGCTATCATATAAGTTATAAGTAATATCAAGTAACATAAGTACTATCAATAGTAAGTAAAGTACTTTAAAGTACTGTAAAAATAACTTCATATTTAAAAATATTAAAATTGAATTAAATTGTTCTGTATTAGGCATTACATGCAGAGTCAAAATTTGTGGGTACTTTTATGTGTTTATATCACAGATATGAGTCAATTCTGGATATTTTTTTGTCCTTCTTTGTGTAGTTTTAACTTCTTTTTTTTTTATTGCCCTTGTAGGCAGACGAGCATACGGCCCACCTGATGGTGAGTGGTTACCGTCGCCCATGTACTTCAGCAATGCCAGGGGCAGAGCCAAGCCGCTTAATACTCTCCACAAGCCTCGTTTGAAGAAGGACATGTCATAGCGCTCGGGAAACACCGTGGAAGGGAGCTCATTCCATAACCGGATGGTACGTGGCAAAAAAGACCTCTGGAAACGCACTGTCGATGACCGCAGTGGCTCCAGGTAGTATGGATGAACTCTACTCCGGTGGCGGGCGGTGCGATGGTAAAAACGAAATGCCGGTATCATCTCGAACAATTCCTCAGAATGTAGGACTTTGGACTAACCTGTCATTAAACTTGACCGAACTGTCGGTAATGGGATCGTATTGGAATCTCATCAAGTGTAAATGTAACACGGGCGGGAACGTGGCAAATATGACGCCTTTCTCGGCTTCCTGGAGACCGTGCTCGCCAGCGTCGTACTTATTCTCGCCGTCTAGCGTTTCTGTGCTTATGTAATCTTTGAACGATTCGTAGACTGTAAAATATATCGTGTTAGGATACTTCACTCATATGTACACTTTAAATCAATTTAATAGCTATTGTTAACAACTAATTTCAAAAATTTGGTATATATAGAATTATAGTTAATTAGGTTATAAAATTCAGACTATGATTATGAAGCTGATGAGCTTATAGTCCACCCGATGGTGAGTGATTGTAGTTGCTCGTGGAAATCTTGCTATAGATACTATCATAATCTTCTTTTAATACTAGTACCTTATAATTAATAGCCTTATTCTACTTATTTCCATTTCTATACAAAATTGTCGTTTTATGTTGGTATTCAAATTATCCCTGCTCCTCTAAAAAGCGCTACAGTTCTTTTGGCGTTAGATTGTTGGTAGGGGCAAGATGTTATTTTCCAGTGGCTCAATTGGACACCGAATAATTTAAGTAACGTCAATAGTTTTTTTACTTGGTTATTACATATTATACAAAATTTATACGTTTGCATTTCGTTAAATTTCGATATCAATAATTATAAAATCCCATCTAAGTATTTTAGATGCTAGACGTCACGTCTTGGTTTTTGATCAATTTTAATTGAATATGCAATTTCGAAAAGGGCACATCTCTGAAAATGTAAAATGTTCAGGAAATGAAAAAAAAAACTGAATATTTTCTAAAGTAGTGTAAAATTTAAAATATTAACTTTTGAGATATATTTTAGTGTTAATTAGCAATTGAAAATTACTGGAATTATTATAAAATGAGTGTAGGTAAGCCTCAAAGCTACATGTATATGAAAAAACGTATTTGACCGAATATGCGACATGTGCCCTTTTCGAAATTGCACATTTAATTAGAAAATCAATATTATAAACACTCACTATTTTTCTTCCCTTTGATATTGAGTTGGATATCGTAGAATGTTTCCACTCGGGTACTTGAAACGTTAACGTTCTTACACTTAATGTATGACGTCATCTTGCCCTCGAACAGTCGAGGCACCGTGCCCTCCACGCATGTGCCCTTCATTTTACTTTCTAATTTATCCAATAAAACCTGTGCATTAAAAAAACAAAATTATTATTTAATTTCTTATTTTAAATTTACTTTACTTAATTAGTAAAGTAAAGTAAAATAAATTAAATCGATTTACTAAGAAACCCTTAATCTTGGTGAAGTACTTTTATTTCATTATTACATTTTTCATTAACGTTAGTTAGTGTTGACATCACAAGTTAAACGAAAACTAGATATAAATATCTAATTGTTAGCATCGTAGTCGACGACAATAGGTACTCCAGAGTGACGAAACTGATTGGTAATTAATGTTATATGTGTTATTGAAATGTATCACTTGATAAGACTCTTGTACCTTTGTTGAAATCAAGAACCATTCTTAAGACACAACTTCTTGAAAGAACATGACTCTGGTTTAATAATTGTTGAAACTGTGGTATTTATACCAAACAGGTCATAAATCATTTCGAGTTTCAATGAATAGTTTAAAAGTTAGAAGGTAAAAAAATCAGGATGCAATAAAAAAAAGTTTTAAACCAACTTCAGAAAAAGTAGGAGAATATCAATTTGACTGGTTTTTTATGCGTGTTACCTAATAACTGTTTTCTTGGACCCCGACTATGAGGATTCTTTTTTATGTATGAAATGTTATCAAAATATGACCAGTAGTTTTTAGTATCGTTATTAATGCATATTTAATGGACACATCTACATAAATATCCTTATTTTGTTTGTTCTTTATTTTATTGAAGTTGGTTTTATTTTTTGGTTTATATACTCTTTAAATTAGTTTACTAAAAAAACTATAATTTCTTACCCTAAGGAACTCTTGTACATCGTGTTGCATGAAAGAATCAAGGGTTTCCCAACCAAAGCTCTTGGTCAACTTCTTTGTACCAACTGGTTTATCACAGAACTGTAACTCATAGAATACTCTTTGCAAAGCCAAAGCCACCGATCTACAAAGGAATGTTTCTGTTATATTGTTACCAATCTTGTTTTAATATTAATATTATTATTTTTCATTTCAAGAACACAAATTCATTGCTTAAGCATGTGTGTGTAAAACAACACTTATATTATTTATTTGAATGCTTCATTTTTCTTAAATACGGGTGAATAGGTTTTGAAAATAATAGTTTTATTTGATATCTTCGAAGTAATGGGTCATTGAACTGCTCATACCTAGATACTGAGTAAACGTTTGAAAATAAATTTAATTGGACTGTGCCTTATTTAAGTCATTAAAATATTTTAACATTTCCTTCACATGTATTGTGTTTATTATTGTAATTTTAAAGTCCTAAGATATTACAATGTTAGGTGCAGTTAGATTTACATCATATACAAAAATAAACAAGATACTCTTCAACTCGACATTCAACGACCTGAAGTTAATGTTTTCTCAAGTGATATGTTAACTGAAAGGTCACATAACCTAAGCCCTGGAAACGATATATATGCCGCAAAGATGCTGGCTATGGCCAACTATCAAACATGGATCTTGTGATATAGTTTCACGAATCACTTGCTAAATGAGGCAGTAAAAGCTTCATTAATTTAGAATTTACTTTGATTGTTTCCAATTAGATAACATTTTATGAATTCTAGCATGCTTAAAAAAAATACATCGGTAATTGAATTTCCTCAATACCATTTAAGATTAAATCAATGCTGAGACTACCTAAAATGGAAGCAATGTTAATCTGAGTGTCAATGCTAATTCATATTAATTTTCAATGCAAAACAACACATACTGCTCAGCCCCGATACAGTGCAACCGTTAGCTATATACACATAATGCTTGTATTACAAATACTAAAAATGTTTACACAATATTTTTATTGTAGATTGTCGCATTTTATTTGCTTACGACAAACAATGCGCTGGTTACAGATGCATTGCATGTTCGAAACAAGAACTCAGTAAAATATAATTTCATAATTTTAAGAGGCTATTTATGCGACACTTTCATTCTCTGTCACTTATATCACTTATATGACAGTGAGTCATTTAATTATGTACATAACACAGTAATCCCTATAACACGGTAGATTGGTTCCATATTCTAGGAAACGCGTTGTAAGAATATTCTCGCATAACGTGCTTTGTACATAACGCGTTATATGACCCATATAACGCGTTATGTACATATACATTACATACGTAACACAAAATAACATTTTTTTTACAATTCAAATACTAGGAGCACAAATTTAATTAATTATTTAATTTAATTAATTTCATAACAACACAATTGACATAATGTGCACAGGTGCGCGAAATCAATTATGAACGGTACAAATCATTATAAATTGCAGAGTAGTACGGAAATATAACGTATGAAATCCCCGCGTTATATGGGGGAATCTCCGTATATATCTCCATATAACGTATGGGGGAATACCCGTGTTATACGAGGGACTGAAATCGCGTAGTATGAAAATGCGCTATAAGAGGAATTACTGTACCTTGCAATAGTTTTAATTTAATTTAAAAATATTGTTTAAATAGCAATAATAATTTAAAATAGCAATATCTTTTTACTAACCTAGTACTATCGTCCGATTCTGTAGGCATCTTGTATACAGCTTTGCGGAGTTGATTCGTGAAATAAAGTGTTTGAAGTAACGAGTTCATATAACAAGTTGCACCTTGATTCTTCAAACCTGAATACATTTAAAATGCATCTATAAAACAAACTAAGCAGTTTATGTAGGGATGTTTAAATCATTACGTATGAAGTACTATAAAATACTTGTGTTTTGGTGTATTGTGAGATTCCAGATATACTTATGAAGTATAATGAAATGAAAATACACACCCTGTATCTAATACAATGTAGAATTCGACCTCTTCTCTCAAAGTGAGTGCAAACATTTACCTTTCTACATTGTCATTTCTATAAACTCCAAAAAACAAATTGTAACTAACACGAATACTAGAAAGTTTTTTTTTTTTATCAGAGTGTGACATTTATTGTGTCATTTGACATTTTCATTCAGGACAGCGATTACCCATGAGCATTTAAAGTATCCTCAAGAGCACAACTGAGAGTTCAACTTTAATTTTCCTACAGTGACACTGTTATGTCTTACCAACATATCCTGTATGCTTCTTAGAATCCCAAGATACGCCGTGGGGTGCTTCGGCGGTGACGTGAACTTCCAGAGTGATCGCGTCGTCTTTAATGTAGCCCTTCTCGGGGTCTAACACGTCGTTCCACGTCATGAAGTGAGAAAAGCCCCAGTCGTTTTCTTTGCTGATAACAATAAATAAAAAAAATTAAGCTTATTTTCCTTAACACGTTGACTGCCATGTAGGTCACCGGTGCCCTACGGGGCGCACTGAATGGACTATATCGATTTCTCTCTTTGGTCTTCTTACTAAGGCGCTGGAATATCTAATAGACTCTGGGAAAGACGAATCCGAAGATAGTGACAATGAATCTATTTCTAAGAGACCTAAAAGACTAAAACATACATTATCAAACAAAAGATGGCAAAGTTAGGCAATCCAGGCGCGTTAGTAACAGAAATCGACATAATTACTTTAGTGCGCCGCGTAGGGCACCGGTGACCTACATGGCAGTGAATGTGTTAAATATATCATCATAATCATCATCTCAGCCTGTCCACTGCTAAACATAGACCTTTCCAAGTGATCTCCAGTGCGGCCGGTCCGTTGCATCCAATGTGACCCAGCGATTCTAGGTTGCCGGTAGGTGGCCGTCCCACACTTAAATATATAGAATCCTAATAAGCTATATATTAATATGTGAAGCAAAAACTTTGTATAGCCCTTTTTAAGAAAATTGCGCAGACGGACGCGTATTAAATTTGCCACACTTATAGAGAATATAGAGGAGTGCAGAATTTTATATTTTTTTAAATGATCGTAAAACCTATGATGTACGTATATGGCAACTTTGGCAACCACTCAAGACTAAGCAGTTGGGAGCACGTTCAACCAGTGAAAACAAAGATAAGCAGCCCTTATTGTAGGTACACCTTCGTCCTTACTCTGTGTAACGACTCTAGCATTCGAAAGCTAGATAAGATGACGTAGTATATACGTCATTATTTAGCTTCATTTGTTTTTTCAAGGAGTATAAGCATTCGATTTTGTTTATATTTAAAATGGGCGAGGCAAGGTTTTGCTATACTACTAAATCATTTACTGTGGTTTTATATCTATAATAACCATGATAAATGAGATAGTTTGTATATTACGCTAACATCTTAACTACTCCATAGATCATCATAAAGTTTTGCATATATCTTTTAGAGGTACAGAAAGAGATGCCAAACCCAAAGAATATTATGATGTTTCCTTAGTATATTGACGTCAGCAGTGCCACATGTACTAATTAATAAGTGTCAAGTTGTAGAATTTTTCCGTACTTAGTATAACTTTAGTGTTTTTTTCTATCTTGAAAATTTTATAGTCATGTTTTGACGCAAGCACGAACCTAGGCTTTATTTACAGTAAATATAAGTTCCAAAGAAAACGCAATAACATATCTATAGATAAGTTTTTTTTTATTGCTTAGATGGGTGAACGAGCTCACAGCCCAACTGATGTTAAGTGATTACTGGAGCCCATAGACATCTACGACGTAAATGCGCCACCCACCTTGTGATATAAGTTCTAAGGTCTCAAGTATAGTTACGACGGCTGCCCCGCCCTTCAAACCGAAACGAATTATTGCCTCACGACAGAAATAGGTGGGGCAGTGGTACCTACCCGCGCGGACTCACAAGAGGTCCTACCACCCTAAAAAGTAACATCTAATAGTTCCAATAGTACAAACCTATAAAACAAATGTTGAATTTTCCTTAGGAAAGGTTCGGTGTCCGGCTTGTGGGATATGAGTCTCAGTTCCGCCATCGCATAACAAGACCAGCTGGATGATTCACTTTCCCCATTGCACTGTAGGAAGAAGCCCAGAGACTTTTGCTGTTGCCGATCAGGCGAGGGTGCTTGCCGCGGCATAACCATTATCTTCCACGGCAAATTGCGCACGTAGCACGGCGGCGACAGCATCGAGTCTTTCAAATTCTTAAAGTTGTGGACCGTGAATCGGAACGTTGCCTCTGAACGCGCTTCGTCATCTTCCATTTCAGCGTCGAGGCAAGCGAGCTATGAATATTAAAAAAATAAAGTTTACATTTTCTTCGTAATATAATTTAAGGATTTGCTGTCAACGACACGAAATAACAAAAATCCGATCCAACTCAATAACAACAACAATAGCACTTCCATGCAACATGGTACCGGGTCATCGTTCTCGTCGAACCCGTCGCTTGCGACGAAGGGCTCGACGAGTAAATTAACCCACAAACACAGCCCACTGAGTTTCTCGCCAGCTCTTCTCAGTGGGTCGCGTTTCCGATCCGGTGGTAGATTCTGCGAAGCACGGCTCTTGCTAGTTCGTGATAGAAAGATCGTCAGGTTTGAGCCCCGTGACCTCACCTACTAGTTAAGGTTACGCTGAAATAGCTTCTCAAGGCTTTAAACGAGCTTAGGTAGGAGAAAAAAAAAGCAATATGGTTTCATCCAGATTCATTATGGCTACAAAGATTTTTTTGCACGAATTCCCCTCCAGATTTCCCGAGATCAATGACATACGACCTTTTTTGGACAAATTTGACGTCCTTTACAGTAAACCGCGACTTGGCTACGCCCCTCATCTAGGCTTTTATTGTTTAGATGGGCGAACCTCTTAAACGCTGAGTACGAGTGGTTACTACGTGAGTTTAGTCTCAATTCCATACTACAGGGTGGCCCATAAGTCCTTTGATATGAAAAAAATTTTATTAAAATAAAACTAATTACATTATGAATTAAATTTTTATTTACATAAAAAGCTTAAAAAACGGGAATTATTTTTTGAAAATAACATCTAAATGTAATCCGTTGCGATCACGGCACTCTTGCAAACGACGTCTAAAATTGTCGATGACTGCGCGGCACGTCACTGCTGAAATGCTTGTCATTTCTCTGCGGATGTTTTCTTTTAGGGCCTCAATTGACCGCGGGTTTGTGTCGTATACTTTAGCCTTAAGGTAGCCNGCTGTTGCCGATCAGGCGAGGGTGCTTGCCGCGGCATAACCATTATCTTCCACGGCAAATTGCGCACGTAGCACGGCGGCGACAGCATCGAGTCTTTCAAATTCTTAAAGTTGTGGACCGTGAATCGGAACGTTGCCTCTGAACGCGCTTCGTCGTCTTCCATTTCAGCGTCGAGACAGGCGAGCTATGAATATTAAAAATAATGTTATATGAAACTTATTTCGAAAATAAAGTTTACATTTTCTTCGTAATATATATTTAAGGATTTGCTGTCAACGACACGAAATAACCAAAATCCGATCCAACTCAATAACAACAACAATGGCACTTCCATGCAACATGGTACCGGGTCATCGTTCTCGTCGAACCCGTCGCTTGCGACGAAGGGCTCGACAAGTAAATTAACCCACAAACACAGCCCACTGAGTTTCTCGCCAGCTCTTCTCAGTGGGTCGCGTTTCCGGTCCGGTGGTAGATTCTGCGAAGCACGGCTCTTACTAGGGTTCGTGATAGAAAGGTCGTCAGGTTTGACCCCGTGAGCTCACCTACTAGTTAAGGTTAAGCTGAAATAGCCTCTCAAGGCTTTAAACAAGCTTAGGTAGGAGAAAAAAAAGCAACATGGTTTCATCCAGACATCATTATGGCTACAAAGATTTTTTGCACGAATTCCCCTCCAGATTTCCCGACATACGTTCATTTTTGGAGAAATTTGACGTCCTTTACAATAAACCGAGACTTTGCTACGCTCCTCATCTAGGCTTTATTTTATTGTTTAGATGGGCGAACCTTTTAAACGCTGAGTACAAGTGGTTAGTACGTGAGTTTAGTCTCAATTCCATACTATAACTAAACCAGAGCGCATTACTGCTTCGCGACATAATTAGGCAGAATTGTGGTACCGACCCGTGCGAGCTCATAAAACACCCTACAACCAGTACCAGAGATTACATTAATTTGTCTCGTACGTTAATGAAAATTTCTTTCGAGATTCCAAAACAAATACATTTAATATTTTTTTGTATCTAGTAATTATAAGTTCAACTTTATTATAAGCGTAAATATATTTTGGGAGTACCAACAAATTTGTTTTGAAAAAGTCTTCTCAGATTTATTTAGTGTGAGACAAAGAAAAAGATCAATAAATATAGACATATTTGTTGCCTTATCTGACGCCTGGTATTCAAAGTATTGTTTATGTATGGAACTTAATGCAGTGTATAATGGATATAAGGTATGGAATATAGACATCTCAACATTAATAAATATTAGATATTGAATTCATAGATGTTCATGAGCTTCAGATGCACATAATTTACTTGCTTAATGTGCTTTTAAAATACAGAAGGGTATGTTGGACAACAGACAACAAAGTGTTATGATGTCAACATTTTTGTTAGAAGTTCTATTTTCTAACTTAAACTCAAAACTAGTCCACAAAACATATTGAACCCTACTTTTGTTGAAAACTTTCTTTGTTTATATCTATTTATTTTGAGTTTTATTCTTTGACATGATTTTTATTCAAAAATTATATTTTTTATCTATTTAAGTAAAAAATTTACTTTTGTAGTCTTTAAACATGTCCAAATAGCTTTTTGCTGTCAATTAATAGATTTCCAATAAATCAAAGTTACATTTCAAAACCTATAAATTTGCATTCGTGCAACTAATAATAATATTGAAATTACCTATTAATGCTAAAAAAATCACTATTCAGCAAAAGGTTCGTGATGTGACACACTTTATTTGTAAATATAATAAAATTTACAACTGAAAATATTTTATCTCCTGTCAACTAATTTATCATATGATTTTATCTGATAAAAAAAGGAATGCTACTTTTTATGCTTTTACCTAGTCTCACTTTTAGTATCCTCGTGTCTATCTTAGGACTTTATAAATAGCGGGCAAGAATCAGAAGGGAGAAGTACAATGCACTGGACAGACCAGATCAATCTCAACATCAGTCACAAAGTGGTATCTCTTGCTGAAAATCTGAATCAATAGAGGAATACTGTTAGGGATAAACTGATGCCCTAATAGACCATGACACCCAGAAGTGTAGAATACACCCATGGAAGAGGACTTTACACTCTTTTATAAATATCGGGATAATATCAACTAAATGTGTATTCAACATAAGTATTTGTTGTTTAAAATTTCAAATAATAACAAGACATGACTCTTACAAAGCTTTCAATTAAGCTCTGTATTCATTTTAATTTTATAATTTCTGTAACTATTATGACATACCATGATATCACAGATCACATTAAAAAAATAAGGTATTGCAACCTAACTACATATTGTGGGTATTTTACTTATTGTGTAACTTACAGGCATCTCAGCTGAAGCAGTCTCCTGTGTCTTCATAACATCAGCCATGACAACCTCACCATTGGGACCCTTCATCATTTCTTCATTCCAGGTTTTTTCAGTGGTAATTGTTTCAACTGGAAACCAATACTTAAGATTTAATATCTGTACAAAGAATTAACAACAAAATATAGGGAGTTGAATAAATTTTAACATTTCAAAAGTATTATGTTGACTTATTGTCATTTGTCATTCCATCATTTATAAAATGACTACACAATTCATAAAAATATTATTTTCTCAATATTTCTAACTAATTTTGTAGTGTTGATTTGGTAATGGCATATTGAAATGTTTATTCAAAAACTTATTCACACATTTCTAAGCACTTTAATTTTTCTATTTGCTTAGGTATAAGGATTTACCTAGTAACAAAATAATATATATAAATCACCTGAATAAATTTTATGGAACAAGAAAAATGGTTTGACATTTGTTGTCAAAATGTCAGACACTAAAATAGGAATTTGTAATGATACCATTCTTCAAAAAGTTTTTAGATACATATAATTTAAAAAAAAAAAGAGGGAAATTTGGAGATCCTTAAAGACAATATCTTAATGTTCAGCAATATCATTAACTCAAATTATAAGGAGTCTACATAGTACCTAGTATTGATCTTTATAACCACCTCTTACTTTTAATACATTTATGAACATTACTGCAATTTTGAGTATTTGGCTGTCTTGTTCATTGATTTTGTGTTTTATATATTTTTAATTTTGTATGTTATTGGGACACAGATAACAATAACATTTTTATATTGAACTTGATTCTTAAAAACCCTTCCCACTTATATATTAATCGTGTAAAGGGGATAGTAGCTCCTCTCAGAGCTTTTGTGTAAATAATTTTCTTTGACCAGTAATCACTTATCCAACTGTTCTCATCACATCACAAAGGATCATGGTCGACTTTTGCAATTGATATTGTTTTAAACTTGTACCGATATAGTATTATTATGGTTCCAGCATTAGTTGGTTGATAACAATGATTCTGTATAATAATTTAAGTTTATTGCCAGAGTAAATTTAATTCTATAGGAAACCTAATACAAACACTTACGTTTTCTATTCAAATAACATTTTAAAAGTGGTTCAATTTAGTTCTTTTCACAGATAATGCACCATTTTTAAGTTGCTATTTTAATGCATTGCATACTTTAAAAATGCAATAATCTCATTGTAATATTCATTGACATGATACAATAGCATTTTTCTTGATAATTTAAAATGAATAAAAACTTGTAATTCACAAGAAATAAATAACATATACATTGACCTTGAGATTTTATTTCTTATGTCTCATTATGCCAGTAAACACCTAACCATCTTATTTAATATTTTAATGTTACAAATTTACACAAAACTTTCCACTTTCCAATATTGTAATTAAAACAGAAGATAAAAATGTTAAATATCAATACTTTTAAATGCATTCAATTTTAGTTCTATATTTAGAGAATGCAATATTAACAACTTGCACTTTTAGAACAAAGAAAATATGTAAAAGATTATTGAACTTATTGAATGCACAATATAATAAATATAATACATATTCGTTTATTGTCTGCTATGACAGGTATTTTAAAATAAACTAACATCTAATAGTTAAAAAACAATAACAATTACATTTATAGGTTACTTTACATTGTCAGTCTGTACTTTACCACTACATATTATACACTTAGTAATATATTATTTCTAACACGACAGTACATAATAGAATGCTAATAATCATTTTTATAAAATCCATTTCAAAGCAGAAATTTTTCGAATGATATTTTAATTGGGCGAAAAGGTTAATGTGATGTCATCACTTACCGTCCTGAGTCTCCATCTCCACGACCTGGTTAACATTGGAGTCGTGCTGCTGCCTGTCAGGTGCAGGCGTGTGATTCATGTTAGCCGGGCGCGCCACGGGGGACTTTCGCCCAAAGCTCTTCGATATTTCCTAAACAAACCGTTCACCTTAGCAATATTTTGACATGACCTTCTAAGCCAAAATCACAACTTCACGTTATCCACAATCAAATCACTTCACATACCTTTAAAGCCAAGGGATTACTCCCTTTACACTTGCCGAAAATTCGTTGAACGAATTTCAACGAACCTTTCTCATCGACGCGATTACCCTGGGCGTTAGGGATTTTGTTTTTCTTCGAAGGTTGGGAATTAATTTTCAAAGAATGTTTACTAGCGGCGCGGCCGATGTCTGCAAATTTCAATACAAGGGCCGACAACGAATGAGTACGCTAATAGCACATTCCTAATCCTACAATCATTGCCAGAATCGCTTTGTCACTACGAAGGATGGTGGCAGGCGAATATATTATAATTTAGCCGGGTACAGTCGTATAAACGCGAAAATAAACAAAATGGTGGATGTTAATTTAATTTCTGACTTCGGATGTATGGCCCGGTTTGATCGACGAATGCACCATTTTATCATTCTTTCACATTTGCCCACATTCACCCTAGTGTTGATGGTTTACTGAAGGTTCCGGTTTATTACGACCCAACATAGTTTCAAAATCCACTAAAAACGAAATTCATTATCACTAAAAAATTTGATTCAGTAACAGGATAAATCCCAACAATAACCAACACTTAGAATAAAATGAGTTTACATTTTTATAGTTTTTAATGTCATCATTAATATAAAATCTTGAAATATTTACACTAAAATAGGACCTATTCCTGTAACTAAATCCTTTTAAGCTGCAACTTCCAACCAAAAACTCTTGAATTTTTCTTATAATAAGAGTTCCGATATCAAAAATTGACAGTAAAATTAAATAAAAATCGACTAAAACATCGGTTTTCGAAATTTTCGCTGAAAAGACTGAAAAGACTCATAAGATGCTTCGCCTAAGACTTAAATACTTTCTTTTTTATGCAATGCTCAAACTGCGAAAAAAAATTCTAAACTAATATGCATTGGAAAAAATTTCAACAGGCAATCCCCAACAAATGATAAGTAGTAAAATTATTATCTTGGAAGAATGGTAAAAAGATATATCAGAAGGGCGCGAGGCATAATTAATCTGAGATACACTGATGATTGCACAGCCTGAGAAGTCATGGAAAATCTACTGACTCATCTAGAAACTACCGGCCTTAAATTCGGATATAATGTTAACCGAGACCAAGCGAAGATGATAATAATTGATCGGCCTGAATGAAATGTCATCGACGTACAAAATATAATAAAACTGTGAACTATGTCGAGCACTGGAGGATGTGGTGACGAAATCACACGACGGTGCATCATCACCAGGTCGGCCGTAGAACGATTGGGAAAGATTTGAAAGGCTTCAAAGTTCTTTGGTCACATATCTACATAAAAAGACTCGATGGAGGGAGTAGTGGTTTAAGGTCAGGTGGAAGACAAGAAATCACGCGGTCAATCACCAACATACACTAACAATGGATCCCTTTTGTCGACATTTCTTGATAGCGATGACATCGCGGCTTTCTTGTAACGACACAGTTCAAAGATGTCCGTCACATAAATTTACTCATACAGTAAGCGTGAATTAATATATGTCATTTACTTCATCGAACACACAAAAACCACGACCACTGCTCGCGGTGGTGGCGCTTAGCCCTGCGTCGCCACTACACGCTACACCACCCCGTAGTTAAACATCCAGACTCTAAATTTTACACTCGCGCTTTTTTAGACTAGCCATCAATGCCTCATGGTACGTGAACAATATAGATTGTCATGAAATGTCTATAGGAACGCCAAATTCAATCGTAATGTAATTTTAAAAATACATCAACATGTCAGTCGCTGATACTATTTTAATAATAGCCTAAAGAGTCTGTGTGAAATGAAACAATTACAATAAAATTTCTCTGAGCCCTTTTGTACCAACCACATAAAGAATTAAATCGTCGGTCAGTGTTGGCAAAATCGATTGAAAATAGATTTTATAACACAATTGTTTTTTATTATTCTCGATTTTTTTCGATGTAGCACTCCAGCTTGTCTGAATCATATGTTGGTGATTATCTATGCTTGAGTATGACATTTCATGACAGGACTTTTGGCGGGAACGCGAGGAGTGAAGTTGTGTGATTTGTTTTATTTTGTCTATTTAGTGTTTCTTCAGGTTTAAATTTGTAATAACGGTGGTTTATTAACTGTTTAATATCTGTGAAAGTGCATAAATGTGGGAAAATCACACAAAGACGCTTGACGGAACTTCTCGGGATCCTCCAAAAAGTCCATTGAAAAAATCTTAGTAAATGATAACCATTTTACTGAGATTATATTTCATCCCATAACATCTCATCTCATTTTATTTAATTTCATCCCAGTTGATTAATGTGTCAAATTTATCATCTTCATTTGAGTTAATTTCACTCTATGATTATCATTTTTCATAAAAATAAGAATATTAATAAAAAAAGGTATGACTTAAAAGTCTTAGTTACCAGGTCATAAAATCCCTTAATTTTTTTTATGAGAACTTTGATTAAAGCATATTATATTAACTTTGTACCAGTGGTTTCGAAGCTACCGATTTTTCGGTATTTCTACCGATATGGGCTCTGTCTAACGAAACACCGAAATTACACGATTTTTCTATGATTTCAGAGTAAACATGGAAATTCTCCCGATTTTACACTTTCAGACATCATTGATACAAAAAATGTTCAAGGCAAGACTGCGTCGACAGTTCTTATGTTCATATTCAGAGTTGTTTTGTGAATTTTCAACATTATACTGTTAAACTACAAAAAATAGAAGATTTTGCAACGAATATAAAACTAATATTGAGCGTCGAAAGATTTTCCCGGTTTTTTCCCGATTCGCCTCTCAATACCTAATCGCCCCATTTTACGGTACCGATTTTAGCTGGCAATTCTACCGATCTCGTTGACGTTCGAGATTACTGCTTGCTTTGTATAATATTGTACACAAAACTGAGAATTTAAGATGTAAACATTGTTGTGGGTTATGCATAATTATCCAAAAATCTTTTTTACGCATTCATAATGAATTCCCTTTTCCCTGTAAATCATAAAACAATATTTGTTCTTGATCACACACCGTACTTTGGAATATCTTCAGAATACCCAATAGATTTTGATGTATCGAAAGGCCGAGGTACCGGTCAGGTTCCTTTACCTCCAATCTGTAAATCGTTGTGGACTTGCAGTGTGGAAGCTGCGGTAGAGTACTGTCGTATAGTGTGGGATTTATTCCCTGAAAGCAAATTAGTGAGTATTGAATTTAGATAATGAAATGATATTATTTTGATCACTGGACTTGGAAGCACATGGACATGGACATGGTCAATAATAAATATTAGTAGTTGTTAGCGCTACTGTTAACTATTATAATATAGGCGATTACAAGGTATGCTGTGTTTTGCCTGACCAAAACTTGAACTTCATTTAATTTTTTTATGATCAATTGTGATAAAAGAGATTAATTGGTCTTTTCTAAAACCAAATAAGCCACAAATCATAAAGAACATTCAAATAATTCATGACAATTTTCAAGTACTCTTTTAGCGTTAATATTCATTCCATTTACAATAATTTTACATATCTGTATAATTATTATAAATTAATAATTATATCGCATAACAAAAAACACTAAATAATGATAAATAACAATAATGCTTTATTAATTTCAATAAAACAGCCAGTCTTAATTAAAATAAGAATACACAATACAATAAAATATAATTGAGACTTAACCTTGTATCTTAATGAGGGTAGCAGAAATTAGCTCAAGATAGCCTGTGACCTTTTTCACCTATCATGTATTAAAATACTCAAATCTGATCTATTGATGGCCGTCTGGTGTAGTGGTAAGTGACATGGTCACTACACAAGGGGGTCGCGGGTTCGAATCCCGCCAAGGGAAGATATTTGTATGATAAATATAAATGTCTTTTCCAGGGTTATGGATGTATATTAAATATGTGTATGTGTATAATAAAAATCTTACATTTATTTCCGTTATCTGGTACCTGTAACACAAGTTCTTTACGAACTNCCCGCCAAGGGAAGATATTTGTATGATAAATATAAATGTCTTTTCCAGGGTTATGGATGTATATTAAATATGTGTATGTGTATAATAAAAATCTTACATTTATTTCCGTTATCTGGTACCTGTAACACAAGTTCTTTACGAACTTATCACGGGACCAGTTAACGTGGCGTGACTGTTAGTAAATATTTATTTATTTATTTATTTATTTTGTTATTGGAAAAAATAAAAAATTAAACAACTAACAACAACAATTAAACACAAACAAACAATTAAATTCATGACTAACTTTAAAATTATTCCAGGTGAAATTTGTAGTGAGTGATTCTGTAGCGCATATATTAAACACTTGGGCGGCATTACAACAAAATTTAACTCATGTGAGTATTTTATTATATTGTAAATTACTAGTAGTGTAAGTAAATCGTGTAATTAATAATTATATCATAATTTTTTTATCAAATAGAGTTAATCACATCATTAACTTCAAATGCATATTTATTTTGTAAGTCATATTTATATGTTGGTGTTGGATGTGGGTGTTTAAGTCAATTCTCTCGATTGCAATAATATGGTTCAGTTTGAACCTCTGATCCTTGATGAATATCAAGTGAAATCTACAAAATCTCAAACTTGCATAGGCAAATCATTGCAAGTTCAAGATGTTTAATCAATTAAACTTGCATCATAAGTTGCAAGTCTAATTCTGCAAACATAAAAAAAAAGTATATAGCAATAGAGATGTTTGACTTAGAATAATTGAAAATATATTGATTGTTGAGTAAGAGTGGAAGATAATTCTGGAATGTATTGCAGTTTTACGTGGATTGTGACTATTTTCACTATCCTGAACTCACTCACTCACTCAGCAACTGTTTACTAGATGAAAAAGATCTCCTACCCTTGGTATTTCCGTCTTTAACTCATATCGTCTCAGTTAAGCTTAAATTTAGATTACAATTTTTTTTTATTGCCCTTGTAGGCATACGAGCATACGGCCCTCCTGATAGTGAGTGGTTACCGTCGCCCATGGACTTTAGCAATGCCAGGGGCAGAGCCAAGCCGCTGCCTACCTTAGTAAGGATCTGATAAAGTTAATAGTAAAACAATAAAATTTTAGGTCCTAAATGGGTTGTGTCTTGTTGGACCAGTACGTCGTGGTGCTGGAGGAGATGTTGTCGGACTCTGTGCAGCCATTGAAGCATTGGGTGAAGCATCACCAGAGCAGATATCACGCACATCGACTGATAGACATTTTCAAAATAGGTATGACTTATACATTATTATTTTCTTTCAATATTCTCCCAATTAGATAACCATATATGTAAAATTGATATTTCCAGAGGACGGATAATATGTATTACAAGTGCAAGAGATGATGATTCAATAAGGAGCTTAGCAGAAATAGCTTTAAACACTTTGATTCAACAAAACAAAAAAGCTTCCATAGTCCAACCAAACAGTAGTAGAGATTCTCCTAATGCAACACCTCAGTGAGTATTTCAGACACAAAAAAAAATTTTTTTTGGTGAACAGATGTTTTTTCTCAATATTTCTTAATTCTTTTAATGTTTTTTTGGGTAGTTTTAGTCGGTAAGCAGTGGCTTATCATTGCCATTAGTCTTGCCATTGCTCAAGTCCATGGGCGACGGTAACCATTCGCCATCATTGAAATGGGTACTTATTCTACTAGGTCCTATGACTTTTCTAAACAAATGAGGTTGTCATCTATTAAACAAATAAAATATTAGATCTTAAAACTTCAGATTATATGAGTCGACTATTATCAAAGGCGGCAATCTGACTTTTGGACAATGATTGGTAAATCAGAAAAACGAATTATTGACTTTGTATTCCATTAGCAGTCACAAAACTCTTCGGAACGACATCTTAGATAAATAACAGGTTAACTATTAACCTTTATTTAATGCAGGTTTTGAACCGTATTCTTTGAAGGAGACGATTATATTCAAGTAAATCTGTATTGACATATCAATAAATTTTTTTTGTCCAAATGTACAGATTTGATAATAGACGACTCATATGTGCAATGTTTAAATTACATAAATACTCAATACATTTAGAAAATATTTTTGGGTAATTTTTTTAAAATCTTTATACTGATATTTTTATGATCTACCACCACACAGAACTATATTATTACGAAATTTCCAAATTTTAGTTGGGTTACAGTCTCGTATTCTAAATGATGTTAAAGCTTTCAAAATGTTTTTGTATAGTACATGACATGTGCTGTTGAGTGTTGAGTTTGATTTTGACAAATTGTAAATGTATGATATTAAATCATTATATACTCAAATATGTTAAGATATCCCTATATAACTGAAATTACACTTACAGATTATTAGTAACACATTACTGCCATCTAATCATCATAAATGTCACACCAGAGAAAGCTGAAACCAGAGTTAACAATCAACAGCTCACAGAGGTTAGTGTAGTTTATCTATATTTTACCTAAGAGATGCGTAATGTCTATGATATATTGTCTACTAGCTGACCCGGCAGACTTCGTAGTACCTCAATCCATAAATAAAAGACCTAAACTTTTGTATAAAATAAACTTAAAACAAACAAAAGGAATCCGTCCGATGGGGGACACCAGCAAAGGAAAAACAAAATTTTTTTTTTTATTTAATTCCGAGCATTTTCACATTTATCTACATTTTAAGCCTTCTCTGGACTTCCACAAATAATTCAAGATCCAAAATTAGCCCAATCGGTCCAGCCGCTCTCGAGTTTTAGCGAGACTAACGAACAGCAATTAATTTTTATATAATATATAGATGATATAATATTTATTTATTTAGGTTTTCAACCAAGGATATGTTGCTGTTGTTGTAGTCCCTACTGGTAGATAGGGCCCTCACAAGTTGTCTTCACTCAGCGGGTCGCGATTCCGATCCGGTAGTAGATTCATTCGTGAAGCTGCTATTTACTAAAAAAATACATTCCACGCTCAATTACCACAACGCAACATTGGTTTCAACAGATGGGCGGTGGTCTGATGGGCGTCGAAGTAATAGTATCACGAGCTAGCGCATTAGCTAGCTTGTTGGGTCGTCTGGTACTACCGCATTACAAATTATCAACTACCACAGTTACTGGAATTCCCATGAAGGTAATGTCATTTTGTCGATGCTACCAAGCCAGTAAACTCGCCGCAGATAGCAACAAAAACTGTATAAAGTATCAAATTATTTAGTTTTAAAGCTTGTAACTTTCAGAAAAAAATCAAAAGATATATTTAATACTAGCTGTACCCGACCGCTTCGCTGGGCATTTAAAATTAACATTATTATTTCTCACCCCCACAAACGTTCTCATCATTACCTAACGGTCTCGCAACTGGTGCAGGGAGTCCAACACTCATATTAATATTAGCCTATCCATTAAGTACATGTATTTTCTACATTGATACCAAGTTTCAAGTTAATCGGATGCATGGTTCAGTAGTTATAACGGAACATCCGTAAAAGCCACTCTATATTTATACCTAGTCAGGTCATAAATTCTGTCACATGTTTAATGTAAAATAATTGAAACAAGTTTATTCATTATGTAACCATTCATATACCAAAATGAACTTAACAAAACATAGATTCTTATGACACTAAAGTTTATTCAAAATGACCTCCGTGATTTTGAATACAGGCCGTCAATCTGCGCGGCCAGTCGTCTATCGCAGCACGAACGAGGTCCATGTCAATATCGGCGGCTGCCTTAATCAAGGATGTCTTGAGTAACTCAAAATTGGGATGAGGCTTTGAGCACGCCTTTTCCTCCAAGTGTTGCCATATCTTGTAATCTAACGGATTCAAATCTGGACTGGAGGAGGGCCAGTCTTCGGGCCGGATGAAGTCGATTTCACGCGCCGCCAGCCAGTCTTGTGTGCTCTTCGCTCTGTGAGCTGGCGCCGAATCTTGTTGGAATACCCAGTGCCTGTTATTGAACATGGTATGAGAAACAGGTTCCACAAGGTTCGTCAGGACTGTATTTTGATACACAACTGCATTCGTTTTTACACCTTTCTCACAAAAATGTACCTCTGTTAAGCTCCAATAAGAAACTCCCAACCATACCATGAGCGAGGATGGAAAATGACCTCGTTGGTCACGCGGAATACGGTTGCTCGCTTCTTCACTACTGTGTGCGTACACCTTATCATTATTTTTGTTGTAGCTCTCTTCTACGGTAAAAATTTTTTCGTCCGAAAAAAGAATTTCCCGATATTTTTTTCGCGTACCGCTTCAACAAAGCGCGGCATCTCTTCAGTCTCAGGTCCATTAGACGATCATTCAAACGATGTCCTGTTTTTCTTCGATATGCCCGAAGCTCTAAGTCTTCATTTAACACCCTTTTCACCGTGGTTCTCCTTAACCCCATCTGAAGGGCCAACAGTTTCTGCTTACGTTTGGGATTTCTTTGAATTCGCGCCTTCACAGCTTTTATCACTGCTGGAGTCCTAACAGACCGAGGGCGACCACTTCTTGACCTGTCTATCTACACTAGGGTCTTCATTGTATCGTTTGATGGCACGATAAACGAATCCTTTGGTTATAGTCAAATTTTTCAGTATGTTAAAAATTTGAAATGGCGCGTAACCGCAACGATGCAACGCAATAACTGTAACACGGTCTTCTTTAAGCGTCCACTCCATATTTAAAAATGAGTAAAATTCTAAAAGTATACATTTTTATTTTCATGAACAATTCGAAATTCGAATTCAATAAACTTTTTTGTGGCCAGCATTCTAAAAGAAAAGTTTTTACTGTGTGACAATACTTATGACCTGACTAGTTATATTGGTATAAATATGAAAATGAACATCAATAAATATAGAATTTTAACTTGTCTTTATCGTTTTCAGGAAGAACAAAACGCTAGTTCCAGTGCTAATTATGATGTAGAAATTGTCCATTCCATCGATGCTCATGCTGGCTTGCGAGCTTCACAAACTGCTGCCGAAGCCGCTGAGTCTGTTAGTATAATAGCTAGTTCTAGCTAATGCTTCAACCACACTAAATGTACCACGAGATTTTTTTAAGTGTATTGACGAACTTACCTTCCCTCATGTTTTAAGTGGATAACGGATTCCAAAGACATCTCAAGATATGAGGTCAGAGTCTCAATTCTACACTAAAACAGCTGTCTCAACCTTTAAATTGGAACTAATGATTACTTCGTGACAAATAAACGTTTGATGATGATACCTACCTGTTTGGTTTAGGAATACGTTAACTTTTCATTTTCTTTACCTAAGCTTGATATTGAGAGACCATTTCAGCGTAACCCTAACAAGTAGGTGAGCTCACGGAGCTCAAACATGTCGACGTTGCTAACATTAACCCTAGCAAGAGCGGTGTTTCGCAGAATTATATTACTGGTGGTAGGACGTCTTGTGAGTCCGCACGGGTAGGTATCACCACTGCCTGTTTCTGCCGTGAAGCAGTAATGCGTTTCGGTTTGAAGGGAAGCAGTTGTACTGTTAAAAGTGAGACCTTACAACTCATGTCCCAAGGTGAGTGGCGGCATTTACGTTGTAGATATCTATGGGCTCCGGTAACCACTTAACACCAGGGGGCCGTGATTTTATCATAAAAAGCTTTATCATCGGATCGAAAATGCGACCCACTGAGAAGATCCGGCGAGAAACTCAGCGGGCTGTGTTTGTGGGTACTCGCCGAGCCCTTCGTCGGGAGATTGACGAAGTAAGTTGTATTGGTATTGCAGGTGGTGCTACGTTGGTGGACGCCGCGCGGCGCGGAGGGGGGCGCGGGTGGTTGCACGGGTCCGCTGTGGCGCGTCACGCCCGCCGACGTCGCCAGCCGCCCCTCCGCCTGTCTCGTCAACTTCCTGCTCAACGGGCGGTCGGTCACGCTCGAAGTGCCCAGGTTACTACTACTTCATACTAGCGACACGGCCGCGCTCTACTGAGTCATTCGAGATACATTTACTGGAATTTTTGGCGGGAACGCGAGGAGTGAAGTTGTGTGCACAAATGTGTGAAAATGAAACAAAGCCGCTGGACGTAACTTCTCGGGATCCTCCAAAAAGTCCACTGAAAAAGTCTCAGTAAATGACACCATTTTACTGAGATTACATTTCATCCCATATCATCTCATCTCATTTCATTTAATTTCATCCCAGTTTATTAATGTCTCAAATTAATCATCTTCATTTCAATTCATATCCCTCCATATTATCAATTTTCATAAAAATAAGAATATAAATTGAAGTAAGACATGACTTAAAGGTCAGTTCATAAAATCCCTTAAAAAAAAAGAAACAGTTACTCTTGAATCGTTAGGTCTCCTTTGGAGGCGCTCGGGTAGCTGTTAGCAAATTGAATCCCGCCCCTCCTGGTCGAGCCCTTGCTCGCCCACCTGTCCTGGTGAAATTGGAAAGGTCTACTGAGAGTATCGTCATACCATATAAAATAAGAACTACATTTCTTGAAACGACTAGCATGTGAAACGCTAACTTAACTTCTCAATTGCTGCGCAAACTTTCCATTACTTGAACTGAACCTTGGTGTGTGACGTCATTTGGGGCCAAAATAAGCAAAGCGTTAACAATAGACCGTACACGAATACGTAACGATTTATAGAAAAATATTATAACGTCGTGTGTTTGGATTGATGTTTAAAATATTAAAATTATTAGGTTGTGTTACTAACAAAACCGCTCATGTATATTTGATTAATGTAATTGAAGACATGAGTGGATGAAGGGGATATGATACAAAATGTTAATTTTGAGAAAACGGACAACAAACTTTTGTTATGTGTACTTTTTCTTCGTACATAACTCCTTTATTACATGCAATTTCTAAAAATAGTCGTTTAAGCCCGGAGTTTTAAGGTTTAATATGGTTTATAGGCACATACCACCTTCATTCAATGTAAAAACTCAAAAATCTTCAAATTTGTACTTAGCCCCTTCATCTACTCATGTCTTCAAATAGAATAGTTTCAGTAACCACTCTCGCTGATTCGAGTTCATGATTCGAATGCATGACATATGAACAAAAACACAACAAAAAACGAATAGATATATGTATATAATATAAATATTAGTTTATAATCCTCCATATAGTTAATAATCCATTTCTCTCTCATTAGCACATAGTTCTTACTAATTGGCAAAACATAGCCTTTGAATTTATAATTTAAATAAATAACGTATTACGGTCCGATGACAATTATTATTATTCATTATTATTATTATTATTAATATATAAAAAATTTGAAATGGTTTTTTTACAATAAAATCATTTTTTTTTACACTATTTTTAGTTGGCTTTTCTATAAAAGCGTGGCGTGGTGGCGTGGTGGCGCATTTTTTTAAATTATTATTAATTTTTCTTTTTTTAGTTGAATTTCAATTTTTTCAATTTTTGTTTTTTTAATATTTAATTGTCATCGGTCCTTAATAAGTATACCAAATTTCGAGCTAATCTGACGTTTTGAAGGAAATCAAAATCATGTTCAAAGATTCCATTACATACTAACACATACATACGTCTGAAGCTAATAAAAGCGTATTAAAAATATGGACTGGGATGTAATTTGAATAGGAAAGGTGGGGGTAGATCAGCGTCGCACGTGCTGGCGGCCCAGGGGGGCGAGCTGTGGATCGGCGCCCTGGGGGGTCGGACCACGTACGACGATCCCCCCGCGCTCTCCGAGGGGGCCGGTGGACGCGTCACAGACTACAGGCGAGTACACAACTCAATCCATATTTATAAATAACTAGCTGATCGATAAATAAAAGACCTAAACTTTTGTATAAAATAAACTTAAAACGACGGTGGACACATCAAAGGAAAATAAAAATTATTATTTTTATTTAATTCCGAGCATTTCTATATTTATCTTACCTTTTAAACCTTCTCTGGACTTCCACAAATAATTTAAGACCAAAATTAGCCAAATCGGTCCAGCCGTTCTCGAGTTTTAGCGTACGAACAGTAATTCATTTTTATATATTTTATATAGATAATAGATAATTCTTAGACCATAATTAACTTAAACTATAATTTGCGTAATTACTGGTGATAGGACCTCATGTGAGTCCGCACGGGTAGGTACCATCGTCCTGCTTATTTCTGCCGTGAAGCAGTAATGCGTTTCGGTTTGAAGGGTAGGATAGCCGTTGTAACTATACTAAGACCTTAGAACTCATATCTCAAGGTGGATGGCAGCGTTTACGTTGTAGATGTCTATGGGCTCCGGTAACCACTTAATACCAGGTGGGCTGTGAGCTCGTCCACCCATCTCATCTGAGCAATAAAAAGAACGCTATGTTCGTTTTTATTAATTTACAGAATAAAAGAATTTGGTGCACTGATGCAGCAAAATAAGCTGCACCCACTCCGCGGGGCGGGGTCCAACGCACGGGCGCGATCTCGGCTGCAAAGGCACACGACATATTGGCCCCTGACGATATCCTCAACGCTTATATTCAATTTAGGATCAGTAAGTCGAATACGTATTAATATCATTCGTGTCATTGTTAAAGAAGTCGTCGTGGCCTAAAAGATAAGACCCCAAGTGTACTAATGCGACAGTGCCCGTGTTCGAATCCCGCAAACGATCAACAATTTTTTTTTTGGAATTTTTTTTCACGTGCTTAACTCATGTTCGCGTTTGATTTCCACGGTGAAGGAATAACTTCGGGTAATATAATTTTCGTTACACCTCGTGATAAGTACCATCACCAACCTGTTGTATTTTACCGCGAAGCAGTAATGCGTTCCGGTATGAAGGGTAGGGCAACCGTTGTACTATCAAACTGAGTCTTAGAACGCATTTCTCAAGGTGGATGGCATATACGTTGTTGATATCTGTGGGTTCCGTGGGGAGCCGTGAGCTTCATCAATCTTAAACCTGCTTAAATTTTTATCAGCAATATTTAAGCTAACCGGTTCAACTCTAATAGCTTCTTACTGCTATTGTTAACCTAACACTATCAATGATGTGTCATGAAGTCGATTGTTATGTAAAACCAACCAGTGATCTTCTCAGTGGGTCGCGTTTCCGATCCGGTGGTAGATTCTGCGAAGCACTGCTCTTGCTAGGGTCAGTGTTAGCAACACTCCGGCTTGAGCCCCGTGAGCTCACCTACACGTTAGGGTGAAGCTGAAACAGCCTCTCAAGGCTATCAGCATAGGTAGGGAAAAAAACAGTGACCCTACAAAGATTTGTCATAATTTTGTGGTTTTCAAGGTGATGGAACCGTTAACGAGGTTGGTCGTGCAAGAATCACTAACCGACGAAGAGGTGGATCAGTGTCGTAGCGTCCTGCTGTCGCTTTTAAGTATGGAATCTCGACATGAATTCCCGGCCGCGCAGCTGCCTTCGAATCTTAGGTAATGTTAAAACTATAAAACCTTTTCATGTACCGTTGAAGTTATAATAATAATTTTATTGGTTTACTGGTGGTAGGATGTCTTGTGAATCGGCACGGATAGGTGCCACGATCCTGCCTATTTCTGCCGTGAAGCAGTAATGCGTTTCGGTTTGAAGGGTGAGGCAGCCGTCGTAACTATACTTGAGACCTTAGAACTTATATCTCAAGGTGGGTGGCGCATTTACGTTGTAGATGTCTATGGGCTCCAGTGACCACTTAACACCAGGTGGGCTGTGAGCTCGTCCATCCATCTAAGCAATAAAAAAAATAAAAAACTCGTTTTTACCATCGCAACGCCCGCCACCGGAGTAGAGTTCATTCATACTACCTGGAGCCACTGCGTCAACGACAGTGCGTTTCCAGAGGTCTTTTTTACCACGTACCATCCGGCTATGGAATGAGCTCCCCTCCACGGTGGTTCCCGAGCGCTATGACATATCCTTCTTCAAACGATGCTTGTGGAGAGTATTAAGCGGTAGGCAGCGGCTTGGCTCTGCCCCTGGCATTGCTGAAGTCCATGGGCGACGGTAAACACTCACCGTCAAGTGGGCCGTGTGCTCGTATGCCTATAAGGGCAATAAAAAAAAAACCATCTTCGGCCTCCTACAATTCCCGTTAGCAAAGGATAGTGATGTTAGTCTCTTATCGACTGTAACGACAATCACATATTCATGTTTAACTTAATTAATAATTTAGTTTATTTTAATTTAATTATTATTGTTATTACAGGGGCAAATCGAGCGGTCGTCGCGAAGAACAATGGCGTCAAGTTTGGGGTGAATTGGAAGCGTTATTACGAGCGTATTCGAACTCCTCCGCTCATAGAACGCTACTGAGAGTCCTGCTAGAATGTCGGGCACACAATAACCACGGCGCAGACGGTGAGTCACGTCGATCAGAATACAGGATGGAAATATAATTACCAAAATCGAAACGATAATAAAACTGGTAGTAGTCTTAAAGTAATATCCACCTATAAATAAATAGGCAAAGACAAAACAGTTGAGTACCATCATCTTTATAAAGAAAATCGTGTTCTTCTATCACGACGAAAGTTTGACAAGTGCATATTATAAGAAGCGCTCGCGTACTAATAAATAAATGTAATTGTTCTCAAAGTTGAAACCGCAATAGTTACTCATAACATTATTTTACTTTTTTATAAACATACTAGCGGTCCCGACAGACCTTTTCCTGCAAAAATTAATTCAAGTCAGTCCAGCCGCTTAGGAGTTGAGTGACATACACACGTACAGTAGAATAATATTATATATATAAATATATACATATTGTTTGGTAAAATAATAATAGTATATCGGTTGAATTTCGATTTTTTAGGGAATATAAAGCTTTTTCTTCGAATGTAAAAAAAATTAGAACAATTATTACGAATAAATAGTAGAGTGAATGTTGTAGGAAATTTTGGGGCCGGGAATTGGATCACAGGTAGAATGTAATTTTTCTTAGCTCATCAACAATGTGGTTAAAGTTAACAAAGAATCCCAGAGACATATCTGGTGGATAACGGATATCTAATTATCGAATCTCAGTTGCATGAATTACTATTATTTATTGTATGCACCTATTGTATTGTGTGAGAATTATTATATCTTTATTGATTAATTATGTAGGTGAATCTCGAGCAACGGTGATCCGAGCGACCACCGACTCCCCGCTGTCGCCGGTGGGCGCAGGTAATGGCAGCGCCAGTAGTGCAAGTGGAGACGTCTGGGCTCCCAGGAACGTTCTGGACGCGTTACTGGGGGCGCCGCGTCCCGCGCGCAGACTCGACTTCGCCGGCAGGATGGCGGCCGGAAACAGGGTGGCCATCTTGTACCCGCAGCTGCAGCAGGACGTGGAAACCCAACACTGATTGTGCGCGGCAAAAAGTGACGAAAGTTACCAAGAAAAGTAATTGGAATCTGAACCTTATGATGAAACATTATAAGTTCCATTTTGTACGTTGTGAATGTTGATGACGATGTTTTTTTTTTACTTGTTTTGTATGAGTTCATAGATAGACGTACAGTAATAAAGTGTTATATTCACTAGAAATAATTATATTTGCAAAAACTGTTATCCTTTTTTTTTCATTTGAAGCTCAGAGGGAGGACCTGAATTTTAAGTTTAAAGGATAATGCCCAAATGTGGGCCAACTTTGTGTCAAAATTATTTGTACTTGAAAAACTATGCCTTATTTTTTCACGTTGTTTAGTTTATGTATCAACATTTCTTTCACCCTGGCATTGTTTTACAAAAAAATAAATTACTTATAATATGATAAGATCCGAAAACTTCCAAAAGTACTTCCATTCATAGTTTTTAAATTCGCCAATAGGCAGACAAAGGGCTTAGCCCATACAGCCTTATAGTAAACCTAAATGCTGCCAAACGAAAGAGTTGTCTGTGATTTGAACAACAAATTAAAAAAAAAGTTAATGGTTATAATTCACAGACTTTTTTAGTTTATTTTTGTTCGATCCAATATTTATATATTGTAATAATTATTACTTAAAACCATGAATTAATTAATATTTTTAGACATTAATGATTCCATTAGTAAAAATCTCAATGGCCCGCCATTACTTATTCTTATTATCTATGGTCAGAGAGTTTTGGCAGCAACCCGAGTGAAGCGTCACTTGAAGTTTTATTTTAATGTTTTTTTAATAGTTTATTGTGATATATAAAGTGGGTGTTGTTTTGTGTATTAAACGTCACTGAATAAAACTATGGCTAACATAGCAGTGACTGTTTTGTTCGTAAAAAGAGATACACTGGCTTTTTATTGACATGAAAATAATATAACTACGACAGACTAGGCTGTATAGACTACGCTCTTTGCCTGCCTATTGGCGAATTTAAAAACTAAACAACAACAATATCGTTGCCGGCTTCCGGATTTTCATTTCCGAAAGAAGGGTCAATGAAGTCAATGAATATTAATATCATGAGGATATAATTATAATAAAATGTACATAAGGGCTTATTTCTAGCAACATTAACCACAATTAACTTATTTAACACTGTAACTAATTATGAGAGCGATTATTCATTTCGAAGAAAACAATTAACAACTTAATTTTAGCTGCAGAAAAAAAAAACAGATTTCTCTTAAACCTGGGTGAGAATATACAAATCGTTTTCTGAATATGAAACGATATTTCTTTGTCTATCAAATTAAGTTAAAACCATCATGTAACGACAACTTTTTTAGGGGCCCAAACGCCCAAAGAAAATGGGCATTGTCCTTTAGATATTTAATATCAATGTATCGATAATATTATTTTAAAATTACATATTTTTATATGCGAAATTTAAATGGATTCTTATTTATTATTTTCCTTTACATATTTTTTATTGCTATTTGGGTGGACGAGTTTACGGCCCAACTCGTGTTAAATGGTCACCAGAGCCAACATTAACAACGTAAATGCCACCTTGGGACATGAGTTTTATCTCAGTTTTAACAGTACGACGGCTGCCCCACCCTTTAAACCAAAACGCATTACTGCTTCACGGCAGAAACAGGCAGGGTGGTGGTACCTACCCGTGCGGACTCACAAGACGTCGTATACGGCTAAAATATTTTGTAACGACACTCGAATCTGGATATGTAATTGTAGTATTGTTTTTTTATCAGATTTAGGTACTGATGCCACTGAGACAACTAAAATTGATATATTGGGATGTCATGGCCAGTTCGCCCGAAAACATCGACACTCTCCATGAAGTTTGAATGTTTTTTGCAAACCATTCAAGTACTGACTTATGTTATTATTACTCTAGCACAATATCTTGGTTATTTTCCTAACAAATTTCCTGCTGGTTATTATTTTCTCATATGTAATAATCATTGAGAATTTTGAAAGCTCTAATGGGTATATCAGCATTTTGCTTTTTTTTGCCGCGAAGCCACCGTGGGAAAGTGGTTCTATTATGGCAATTAAGTTTGTAGGCTGGGTGGCAAGTTTCTTACTGTAGCGTCATAACAATATCGGTAACCAATTAATTCACAATTATAACATATATTTATATATATTATATACAAAGCAAGGAAAGGGATACGTGTAAATAAAAATGCGACTTTATAAAATTAATATCTTATATTTGTTCATTAAAAACTACATTGTGGGCCCGTGTGCCCGGGACCCGGGTAACACGACCTTTGTATTCTCTTGTTGCATATAAACTCTGCGGGCAGACTGTGTCATAAGGCAATGGTGTGAGTGTGACGACCTTCTGGTCGATTAGGCTTCCTGACCTCGGATGGAGTCGCCAATCTTACGGCCATCTACATAAGGACGGTTCTTGAATACCAGCAATCGAGAATATCGGGGTTAATTTTATTTGAAATAACCTAATTAAAAATACAGCGTGTTGGCTGATTGTCTTAAAATTTGTTCACCGCGTTCATAAGCACTAGACGAGGACAGACTATTGAATAATGACGTCACTATTTACGTGCCCCACAAATTGTTGGTGTTGAGCAAAAATATTCTCGCTCCGCTCGTATTCTAGTAACTTTTCATGTGAATTATAGTCTTATAATGTACAAGGACCGTGCTTGCTTCCAAAAAAAAAAAAATATGAATGAACCTTTTCGATAGAAACTGAAGATTGACGAGACCATTCGAACACAAACCGGAACTCGGTAACGGCGGAGGACCGTCGCCGCCGAAATATCACTTTTACAATTAGTGGAATGTCTCGCGCGTTACGAACTTTTCATACATTCAAAAAAAAAAACGAAACATTACAAACGTAAACTAACGCTGGGCTCTCTCAGTCGCGAGCCACGACTACACTCACGTCTTTATAATATATTGTACAATCTCATACTCTCGAAGGAGACGCCCGACGAGCCATCGAAACACATCCGAAAAACATTTAATTAGTATTCAATTAATCAATTATCAATTAATACCCTATAAAACTTACAAAAACCGACCGGTATTCGTTAACTTAGTTCTAAGTTAAAATTTAACGGAATCGAAAATAAATTACCTAGGTACAATATTTAAGTCTATGAAGTTATTTACGAGGGGTTTGGTGGGGGACCGCGCGGGTGTCAGTGTGTGGCTTTCCTTAGTTTCTTTGCAATGTTAGGTAGCGTGGCCTCAGACGAGTCTCCCAGTGAGTTTTCTTCCGCCGAACTACCTTCCTCCAATTGCCTGGAACAATGCAATCGATGTGTAAGTTAATCGCACGATTTTTTTTTAATTGCTTACATGGGTGGACGAGCTCACAGCCCACCTGGTGTTAACTGGAGCCCATAGACATCTAAAATGTGTAAATGCGTCACCCACCTTGTGATATAAGCTCTAAGGTCTCAGTATAGTTACAAAGCCCCACCCTTCAAACTGAATGAAGAATAGTACTAACGGTTCAAGGAACTCTGTAAGGAGTCTTTGTATCCTCCAATAAATAAATACATATTATTATATAGTTTTTTTTTCTTAGCTTTGTTCTGGTAGCGTACTAATTTAGTCGCTTCTGTTGTGTAATAACAACAATGGAAGAAGGTAGTAGAAACTCTTGTGAGTCCGCGCGGGTAGGTACCACCACCCTGCCTATTTCTGCCGTGAAGCAGTAATGCGTTTGGGTTTGAAGGGTGAGGCAGCCGTTGTAACTATACTTGAGACCTTAGAACTTATATCTCAAGCTGGGTGGCGCATTTACGTTGTAGATGTCTATGGCCTCCAGTAACCACTTAACACCAGGTGGGCTGTGAGCTCATCCACCCATATAAGCAATAAAAAAAATGTACCTTTTAGTTCGTGGCGTGCTGACTGCAGAGTCTGAGTTGTCTGAGGGTGACGCTGGAGTGGCGGGGGTGGCGGGGGTGGAGGGGGAGGCAGCTTTCGCGTCCATCGAGTCTTCTGTGCACNAAAAAAATGTACCTTTTAGTTCGTGGCGTGCTGACTGCAGAGTCTGAGTTGTCTGAGGGTGACGCTGGAGTGGCGGGGGTGGCGGGGGTGGAGGGGGAGGCAGCTTTCGCGTCCATCGAGTCTTCTGTGCACGACGTCGTGGTATCCTCATTCACGCAGTCCGTTACGAGTTTACCTGTAACAAAGATAACTGCATTATGTCTTAGGCATACAACAGGAATTAGGTATTTTACAAAAGGCATTGGAACTTAGGGTTGTCACCTTTTGTGTTCTAAGTTCGCAGTAATAAATATTATATTCGTACTTTCATGTACTTTATAAACAGCTTGAAAAAGAGCTTAAGGCCAGTCACTGATTTCATATACCGTATATAAGGCAACTGATTTCATAAAAATTGTAACGTACCTAATAAGTTATGACAAAGGTATACGGTAAGCCTAAATGAGTAGAAACTACCGTCCTGTTTATTTGTCCCGGATTATAATCACGTTTTCCCCTTTGACAGCTATCTATATCTAATATATAAATCTACAGTGGTTTTACGGATGTTCCGTTATAACTACTGAACCATGCATCCGATTGACTTGAAATTTGGTATCCATGTAGAAAATACATGTACTTAATGGATAGGCTAATATTTATATGAGTGTTGGACTCCCTACACCAGTTGCGGGGGCTTTAATGATGAGAATGTTTGTGGGGGTGAGAAATAATAATGTTAATTTTAAATGCCCAGCGAAGCGGTCGGGTACAGCTAATACTATATACAATTGAAACATTGGTCGCTTTCATATTGCGGATGCCATTGTACAACCAAGTGTGCAATTGTGCAACAAAGGTGCATTGACCTGGTCAAAATAATTAGTAGGGACTGGACGGTAACAACAAGAGACCGAAAACAATGGAGTACATATAAAGAGACCTACATTCAGCATTGGGTGGTCACAGGTTGAAGAAGAGAAGAAAAAATGCAGAAAAAAAATTAAAACCGGTGTAAGATTTAGTGATTTTAGGCGTTCTTTTTAAAAAATGAAACTTGAATATGGTTTTTTGGACTACACGCAATGTAACGGTTATAGGTCAGTGACACCATTTTCACGTGACGGATAAACATGTAACAGGGATAATTTACTTTACATCGCCGGTTCACGATACCTCGTGAAGAGATTAAGATTTAGCAAATGAATGTCGTTTTTTTTTATTACGTTACTTTATTTTGTACAGTTTTAAATTCTATTGTATCTGATTTTTATGTGTTTGTGGTCTGCTGGAAGAAAACTCAGATCTGATTGTGATTTAAGTTTGCTACACTTTTTCGTTCTACACGCAGTAATATACAGAATTCGCATAGTTAAATTTATTCCAATGTCTCACAAGTTGTCATTTATAAGAATAAATGTTTGTAAGCTACCATTTATAATAATAAATCGGCGCTTCGAAGAGTAAATACGGACGTTTTTCTTGTATGTCGTAACTATTTGTCCATCATTTGTTATGTACGGAATATAGGAATTGTTTGGGATTATCAATAACTGAGTAAAACAATCCAATAAATTTTCATATTTCCGTATTTTGATTTTCTTGTTTAAGAATTATCCATGATGATACAACGGGAAATGACTATCAGAAATAAAATCTTCAACATATTTTTTTTCCACAGGAGAAAATCGCCGGATCCCCACCCGCACGGCAGGTGGGAGTCGAACCTCACTAAAAACTCCTCCTTAGTTAAATGTTTAAACATAAAATTCTGTTGTGAGCGTTTCTTCAGTTATCATATCGTAAATCGCGTCTCATGAAGTAACGAGAAAGCACATCACAACTCAATCATAGGCAGAGGCGTAATTTCACTTCTCGCCTTAAAAATTTAACTTCAAAAATACGTTCACAAAATTACTTATCGTTTAATATTAGTCTCAGTCTTTGAACGTATTCTATTACTTGACTTTGAACCCTAATTAAGTTACATTAAAGAAGTAAATAATAATATTTGTAATATAATGAAATAACTCTTTGAAGGTTACAGGACTAATAACTAGGTTTAGAGTTAGGTCAGTGCTGATTCTTCTTATGTCACTATTTACCTTTGTTCTTTGGTATTCAATATGTTTAGCAATCAGCGAAAAACCTATGCAGTGACGTCACGCGAGAAAGCCCCGTACAAAATAGAAAAAAATAAGGAAAGTTCACAATGCACTATTGAAAGACGAATTACTGAGTTTTTCGATGTTAAGGCATTATTGTGATTCGAAGTCGTCGTGGCCTAAAGGATAAGACGTCCGGTGCATTCGTGTTGAGCGACGAAGCGGTCTTCAAATCCCACAGGCGGGTACCATTTTTTCTAATGAAATACGTACTCAACAGATGTTCACGATTGACTTCCACGGTGAAGGAATAACATCGTCTAATAAAAATCATACCCGCAAAATTATAATTTGCGTAATTACTGGTGGTAGGACCTCTTGTGAGTCCGCGCGGGTAGGTATCACCACTCTGACTGTTTCTGCCGTGAAGCAGTAATGCGTTTCGGTTTGAAGGGTGGGGCAGCCGTTGTAACTATACTTGAAGCCTTAGACCTTATATCTCAAGGTGGGTGGCGCATTTACGTTGTAAATGTCTATGGGCTCCAGTAACCACTTAACACCAGGTGGGCTGTGTTAAGTGATTATAAAAACCTATTTATAAAGTATCTATAGTAATTAACATGTTTGTATAAAGCTCGAAGTGAAAACATTGTAGTGAGCGATAACTTTATTTGTCCTAGGTATAAGCTTAAATGTTAGTAAATACAGTTTGCATACAAAGGCGCGTCCTTGACCTAGTTTAGAGTCGGGAACACAGTTCGTGAACTAGGTGACCTGTATCAACTAGCGCGCAATTCCATAGTTTTTATCATGATCCTTTGTAACCAATTTTTCTGATAGGCTAAAGAGAAAAACTGTCTGTTTGTTTTATAAGTTAATAAATGCAACATATTTTTTATTTATTGCATAAATGTGTGGACGAGCTCACAGCTCACCTGGTGTTAAGTGGTCACCGGAGCCCATAGATATCTACAACGTAAATGCCGCCACCCACCTTGAGATATGAGTTCTAAGGTCTCAGCATAGTTACAATAGATTACAATACAATAGATATTGCAGAACTAGAGATACGTAGGGATCATTTTAGGTGCTTTTAGCTTCACGCACTGATCTCCGTCCTCGTCAAACTCAGAGATTACGACGAAGAGTTCGACGAGTGAACTAACCCATAGACACAACCCACTGAGTTTCTCGCCCGATCTTCTCAGTGTGTGGCGATTCCGATCCGGTAGTAGATTCAGCGAAGCACCGCTCTTGTTAGGGCTAGTGGTAGCAAATTCTCTCGAGGTTAAGCCCGTGAGCTCCATCCATGCGCCGTCCATGCGAGCACCCGTCCATGCGTAGCTGGAATAGCCCCATAGGCTACCAGCGAATAGGTAGGGTTTTTTTTTCCTACCTAAACTGATGGTCTAGAGTCTAGAGAGACCATATCAGCGTAGCGTAGCCTTAACTAGTAGGTGAGCTCACGGGGCTCAAACCTGACGATGTTGCTAACACGAACCCTGCCAGAGCTGTGCTTCGCAGAATCTACTACCGAATCGGAAACGCGGCCCACTGAGAAGATCCGGCAAGAAATTCAGCGGGCTGTGTCTGTGGGTTAATTTACTTGCCGAACCCTTTATCGCAAGCAACGGGTCCGACGAGAACGATGACCGGTAGGTAAGGAAAAAAGATCACTCGAATATAATTTACAGCGTTTTAGAATGCAGAACAATCAACACCGCAATTCAATTTCCCAATAGAACTAGTTTTATTGTGTGCTTTTGTGTAGTGAATGGCCGCTAATTGTGAAAATCTCGACTGCACGCTTTGTAAGCAATATTGTTTTAACATTCCCGATACAACCTTAAAATAATGTCAACCTTAACCGTTTGTGTTTAGCGTACAATTTTCACAGACTGGTAAAGAGCATTTTGTACTGTTTGTACCGCCAATTGTACTTTTTTTGTATTTAATGTATCGAATTGCTTTTTTTTTGGTGTACAAAAAAGAATACTCTCCCTCTCCCTCTCTCTCTCTCTCCCTCTCTCTCTCTCTCCCTCTCTCTCTCTCACTCATTTTCGTAACTTACCGTTACCGTTTGTCGCCGGGGGCTCTAGGTTGCTTTCGTCACTGGGAAGGGGAGAGCCGCCGTTTGCAGCCGGACGGTTGTTGGGCTCTTTCCCTAATAGCTGTGGTTGTAAGTCCGATACAATGTTGTGCGTCCAGAGGGCCAGCTCTACCATGTGTGGAAACCATTTCTTGCCGCAGCCGTTTTGTTCCTATAAAGTACAGAAGGTTTAAGAGATCCACTGCGGTAGATTCGTTGAAGCACTGCTCTAGCTAAGGCTTAGTCGTAGCGCGTCCTCCTAGGTTGAGCCCTGTGTGTTCATCTACCAATCTGCGTTGTTGGAATAGCCACTCTGCCTACCAAGAATTAGTAGGGAAAAAACACGGCTTTGGCTATAGTTAATTTAAAAACTACTCCTCATCAACTATAGACGATCTGAACTGAACTTGGGCTCATATATTAAATTCATGTGAAATCAACACTAAGCTATAACTATTTTGACGCTAAGTTATATGAAATTTGTTAATAGATTGACATATGCTCTTTTTTTATTGCTTAGATGGGTGGACGACCTTACAGCCCACCTGGTGTTAAGTGGTTTCCGGAACCCATAGACATCTATAACGTAAATGCCGCCACTCACCTTGAGATATGAGTTCTAAGGTCTCAGTATAGTTACAACGGCTGCCCCACCCTTCAAACCGAAACGCATTACTGCTTCACGGCAGAAATAGGCTGCGTCGTGGTACCTACCCACGCACACTCACAAAAGGTCCTACAACGAGTAAAACCAAGAGTAAGGCAAAGAAAATTGATGGTACTATAATATTATGTGTCCCGGACTGTGTGTGTCTCCTGGCTCCTCTACTGGCTACGTAAACAACTAGACAATCAAAACGGTAGATGTGATTTATCTATCTTACAGCAATAATAAAAACTAGAGGTCCCGCAGTAGTCGAAATTCGACTATAATTAATTGGAATTCTAAGTTTGTACACTATTATGATTGTATTTTATACTTCTATAATCACAAATTTCGCCAAAGCTACATTATAAAAAAATATTAATAAAGGCAAACAATATTTAATCTATTCTCAATTTGATCACAGACGTCAAGAACAAAAGTTTGACAATAAATAGTATGCATGCGTGTGTGCGTCAAATACATGGTATGTAGTGTGTGTAATGTTTTCTTTATTGATTTAATGTATCTTTTATGCATTCTTTTAAAAAAATATTAGCATTGTGCACTTCTTCTCTATATTCTCTATAAGTGTGGAAAATTTCATACTTCTCCGTCCGCGCAATTTTCGTAAAGAGGGATAAAAAGTTTTTGCTTCACGTATTAATATGTATATAGATATAGATAATTAAACTCACCTCGTTTAACCTATCACAGACGTTTCGTATGTGGCTTACGAAATTGAGGTATTCCCTTGCTGTGTAATCGCTGCCTTCCATTTCGGGGATCGCCTGGACGCATTCGTCAGCCATAAACGGTGCTATTTCTGGACTAGCGGCAGCTAATAATGCTGATGCTGTGGCCGTTCCCACGCCTTTGAGATTGCTTAGAGCGGTCATCGCGGATTCGATATTGGGCAGTTTGCGGAAGGCCTTTTTCGTCTCTTGCATCACAGCTCGTGGCGTGTTCACTTTTATCAGATACGATAACTGCGGGTAGAATTTTCCTCTCTGCGAACAGAAATTTTGATTTACAAGGCATTGTTCGCGCTTTAATCGTACCTCGTATTGTCTGCGCGTTGTTTATTATATACTACTGCCCCGAGTGCATGTTATTGCAACATTCATGTTTCGTGTTCTAGCAACGTGACTTGAGAAATTTGTGGTGAACAAATTTTCGAAGGAAATTATGTGACTGCACTTGACTTCTATACTAATATATAAATCTACAGTGGTTTTTACGGATGTTCCGTTATAACTACTGAACCATGCATCCGATTGGCTTGAAACTTGAAATCCATGTAGAAAATACATGTACTGGATAGGCTAATATTTATATGAGTGTTGGACTCCCTACACCAGTTGCGGGGGCGTTAATGATGAGAATTTTTGTGGGGGTGAGAAATAATAATGTTAATTTTAAATGCTTAGCGAAGCGGACGGGTAGGTACCTACAGCTAGTTAATATTATAAAAGTTGTTTTATGTGACTTGTACCACGGAGTCCCGCCGGCTTTGGTTCCCCGTCTATCAATATCTTTGGTAAAGAAAATAATTATTCGAGGTTTGGCTTTAGGTAACCTATTCTTGTATGCGTGTGTCCGTTACCAATAATTTACAAGAATGTTTAAGTTTAGGGCCGTTTATAGTGAATCTTTTAACAAACATACTTTAATATATTATACATCATTGTTTGGATTATCTTCGATGACCTGAAACTACTTTTCGTTCGTTTTATGTGTAATTAATAGTAAAACTGTACAATTTTTTTTTTTATAGAAAAATAGTGGGTAGTTATTACAATATTCAAATGAGCACGAAAACTGAAAAGTTTTCGAAGTGTTGGAAATAACAAAAGCAAAAGTAGCAAAAGTTCAACAAAAATTGTAGATTTTCTATTCGTGTAAGTCGCTCGTATACTACCTATTTTTTTTCTAATTAATCATGGTCACGCTCCGGGCTGAGATTATCGCTAATATGAAAACAATCGATTTCATGGGTCCACTCGCGCGCCACCTACCGTACGTTATTGATACTAAAATATAAACCTTCCTCAGAGGATCACGTATCCAGTTTTAGCATAATTGGATGTTGGCAACTCCAATATTTTAGTATGGAAAATAAAATCATATGACTGGCAACATTGTTGGTGTCCTTTTCTTTTTTTTTTTTACTTTTCACCGCAAGCTGACGTGTTTATTATATTCATAAAGTGTCAAATGTTTCAACATAGAAATAAACCGTATTACAGCACAAGTTTTCTTTATCATCAGCAACCGGGCCATACAGCCCGCACTATTTAGTGCTGTATGGTTTTTATTTAAAACATCGGATAAATCGACTTTGGTTTTTTCTTACCTATGCTGATAGCTTTGAGAGTGTATATCAGCTTCGCCCTAACGTGTAGATGAGCTCACGGGGCTCAAACCGGAGTGGTGCTAACACTGGCCCTAGCAAGAGTAGTGCTTCGCAGAATCTACCACCGGATCTGAAACGCGACCCACTGAGAAGATCTGGCGAGAAACTCAGTGGGCTGTGACTGTGGGTTTCGACTTAGGAACGCACAGAGCCCAATATACAATTATTTGTATGTAGTTTTACAAATTAAATATTTCAGCATAAAAAATAGTGCTAAAAGATCATAATGTATTTGTTCTACTTTGCTCGAAGATTCTTAGTAACGAATTTACTATTCAAACGTACTAATACAGTAGTTTACCGTAGCCTTTATTCCTAACACAATACGCGTGTTTTTGTAAACGTTGCGAATTGTATTCATCGATCGATATACAATATACAATTGTGATGGAGTTGTATCGCAATTGCTGATTTCATTTATAAAAACTCTTTTGATTAAGTATCTTAATAGAATGTTAGGAATGAGATTAACATTACAGTGATTCTTTTGCGAATCCTACATTGAACATATTATATGCATCGTAGAATCAAAATTGAATACTTTGGTCCAAAAACTTTTGGGTGGGCGATGGTATTAAAGAGAAACATCGTTTTGAAATAACTCTGAAACGATTTGTTCGTCTTTTTAGTAATACCTCCGAAATAGTATCTTTAATCTTTAGCAGCACTTTATAACACTGCAAAGTAGAAGGAAAGAGACCCCGCGGCCGATTACCTAGCCGTTGGTGTGATCAAGTAACCGCTCTAACTGGGTTGCCAGTCGCAACCGCCATTCGAGCAGCTGAGGACCGGATGAGATGAAAACAGCTGACGAGACAGGCAACGGTCAAGTTTCAGGGACACGACCTTCAGCAATGAAGAAAGCGACGAAGAAGAATAACACTGCAGTTTTTTTATTAGCTAATCGTGACTAGCCTAATGGTCTATTCTACCTACTCACGTACTAGTAAGTGAAGTTACGGGTTCAACGAGAGACTTTACTAATACTAGCCCTAATCAGAGAAGTGTTTGGCAAAATCTACCACCGGAGCCGACCCACTGAGAAGATCCGGCGAGAAACCTTAGTGGGTTGTGTCTATGGGCTAGTTCGTATGTCGAATTCTTTATTGATATGAAAATAGCATTGTCATATAACTTTTGCTTTGAATTGTACCTGATCCATGGGCGAATTTATACCACACCCATGCCTTAAAAGGTTTTCGTGGTTCCCGATGTTCGAAACTCTAACCTTGTTTGTGATCGTTAATTTCGTTAAATAAATAAAATAAATAGTCTTTCTGTATTGGTATTTTTAAGTTGATCACGTGCCTGAACACGTTTCAAATTTTATCTGTGTAAGATGCATATAATTATATGTAGTAGTAGTACTACTAATTTAAATTAAGAACCACAATCAAAATGAACTACAAAAAAAAAAGAATCGTAAGTTTTTAGTTTTAAATAAAACCTCATTAGCATAATGGTAATTGATTGTGTGTGAATAAAAACGTGAACCCGATATAGGTATAACAAGTATCGTAAGAGCTTAATTTAAATTCGTCCACATTTAAAAGTGAGAACAGAAAAAATGTTGCATAATTTCGGAATTTGTACGGAATTCAAAATAGTTAATGAATAATTTAAATTATAGTTAACAAATAGTGGCTTGTGCAATAGTCTTCCATTTTCTTAGCGAACTTGAAACAGCGGTGGCGGAATAATGAACTGATGTGGTCGGACCAAATAGCGGAGGAACTGAAAATACCTGTCAGCGATGCACTCCAGCAAGCTACAGAACGGGATCGATGGAGTCAGCTAGTTAACGGAATCGGACGGAGTCACGATCCTCAGCAATGAGGGACCGATTGAAGAGACAAAGAGAGAGAGTGGCCGGTCCACATTCATGCGAGATTCGCCCGCGTGTTATCAACTTTTTTTTCCTACCTATGCTGATAGCCTTGAGAGGCTATTTCAGCTTCGCCCTAACATGTAGGTGAGCTCACGGGTCTCAAACCGGAAGTGTTGCTAACATTGGCCCTAGCAAGAGCAGTGCTTCGCAGAATCTACCACCGTATCGGAAACGCGACCCACTGAGAAGATCCGGCGAGAAACTCAGTGGGCAATATCAATAATATCATTTTTATTGTTGTTCGGTTGCCTATTCGACGATTTCTGAGTTTACGTTCGAGGGAATTCTCAGACGAACACCGTAATCTTAAATCACTTTAAGCCAAAATTATATTTAAATCGTTTTTTTTTTACAATTTTTATATATCGACGAATTATTTATCAATAGCGGTTGTGTGTGTGTGTGAGCGTATGTATTCATGTACATATATATATATATAATAATATATATGGTACACAAGGTATTTAGGCATCTGTTCAGATGTTATATTAAATATTTATACATGTAATTTCTATGATTGTAATTTATTTTGTGCATCAATAAAGGAAAAAACCAAAATAGAGAATGTCAACAACAGAACGTTTACTCGCCATCGAGTATTATCGATTAGTATCGATATCTTATCGTTTTTATCGAACCGAGATATACTTACGGCCTGTTTCCATTTCATGAGCTGGACAAGTTCTTCGTGGATCATGTGCGCATCTTTACCCCGCGATTTGATCTTCTTCGGAAGTTCATTTTGATACCTGAAAAATAAATGGTTTTTTTTTTTATAAATGATAAGCCAGTCACCATGTTTGATGTTAATCAAATTTAAATCTCGAAATCATTGGATCTTAATCTTCCTAGAAGTTTAATGAACGCTTATACATTCTTCGAATTAAATACACCTTAAAGACGTCCCTTTGTGATGTTAATCTTGTACTTTCTTAATCAATTGTCTGAAGTCGTCGTCGCCTAAAGGATCATACGCCTGATTTACTCGCATCAAACGATGCCAGTATTCGAATTCAACAGACAACCACGATGAAGTAATAACAGTAATTTGTGCAATTACTGCTTATACGGGCTATTGTAAGTCGGTAGGTACTACCACCCTGCCTATTTCTAGCGCGAAGCATTAATGCGTTTCGTTTGCAGGTACAGCCGTTCTAGTATAAAATTAGAAATTAGGCATTATGCTTCAAGTTGAGAGGCATTCATGATGCCTATGTGCTCCGGAAGTCAACTAAATCCAAGTGTACTATGCGAAAGTTGATCCATCTATGCAATAAACAAAAACCTGTGCTTAACGATTCGAAGTAAATATTGAACAAGTGCAAGAGTATGTACGACATTATTTACATTATATAGTACAACATTATCCCGCCTTAGCACATGTATGTACCTAGAGGCACGAAACATCTGGTGTTTTAACGCAGTGTAGCGACAATGTGTCTTTTAATACACAGTTTTAACAGACTTGCAAGAATTCTGAATACGGACAGTCTGTTTTTATTATTTCATAATACTGTTCAGCTTTCCGTGTTTATTTATTAAGGCCCTTCATTAATTTCGATGTATAGAAAAAATATTAGCACGTGAAATTACACGTGTGTGAAAAAACTTTATAGTATTTACTTTAAATATGCTCTGATTAAAATTACCTGCCTGATGATCTATCTATATAAGGCAATCTTTTAATGTAGTTTCTTCCAGCTTTAAGAAATCCGATAAACTTGGAAATTTGCACGCGTAATAAGGACTGATTATATTACAATAATTTTATAACATTGTTCTAATATTGTGATAATTAATAATTGTTTGATTGTTGCTTTTTAGTTTAATTTTAAATGGGTTTTTTTTAAACTAATAATAATAATAAAATTGTGATCTTTTTTTTCTTTATGGCAATAGTTTTAACTTTATGCCAGTTTCAAGTAAAAAAATAATGGCGATTTGGTATTTGGTGAATTCAATGTTCCACTCGAACAAGTCAAAATTTTGAATTTAATATCTCTTCAGAACATAAAAAGAACCAATGCAAATTTAAATGAAGCTCTTTGGTGCTACTAAATAAAATGTACCTAATTAAGTATCCATGCAGTAATTTTTAATTAATTTTTTGGGAAAACTATAAATTTAAATAAAATTCCTGACTAGTATAAAACATTAATCTGGTATGATATAATCTTATTTATGGTTTTATTGGTATTACCTAAATCCATTTTAGCGTCCAGTAAACCTTATACCATATGAAGATATTAAAAGTTAGTTTTAAAAAAATAAAAAAATAGTCATGTTAATTGCATACAGAAAAAGTTCCGGTCATTACATAAACCAAATTATGTTTTTTATTAATTAAACAATGATAGGCTTGCAGTTTTCTGTAAATAGCTTAAGTTATGCTTCAATGAGTCATTTGTTTCTGAATGACGCTTAAACTTTTTAAATTAAATACTAACATTATGTATGAAAACCTGGTATCATTATTGAAATTTCAGACAGTCCCTTAAATATATTATAGTCAAAAATCATTAATAAAGCTAACAAAGTTAAAAGCAAGTCACCATTTTGAACGGATATGACTTGTTCAGTAGTTAACAAAGCATTGTAATTATCAGTAGAATTTTGAGTGTTTATTTTTCGTAGTATTCACATTATAACGAATGCTATTTAATAAGAGAATTTAANTATCATTATTGAAATTTCAGACAGTCCCTTAAATATATTATAGTCAAAAATCATTAATAAAGCTAACAAAGTTAAAAGCAAGTCACCATTTTGAACGGATATGACTTGTTCAGTAGTTAACAAAGCATTGTAATTATCAGTAGAATTTTGAGTGTTTATTTTTCGTAGTATTCACATTATAACGAATGCTATTTAATAAGAGAATTTAAACGTATTATTGAGAAAACGCTCGTAAACGTGATCGTAAATGCATTAAAACGAGTCATGAAACGTAAAGGACAGCCACCATTTTATAACGCCTGAGCGCGGCGATAATTTCCCCCACACTGGCTTCAGGAAAAACGATCGTGTCAATTTGACATCGATCCCACGTGACGCAGTGGTTTTAATGAGCCGTCCGCGGACTAGAGATGCAGTCCGCGAGGGAGGTAGCTATCAAATCAGTTTGCACGGATACACACACAATACAAGTTCATTGACACGCCACGGCCGCATTTTCTCCTTTCAAAGACGTTTGTACTTACCAATTGTCCAATTTTATGAGCTCATCTGGTCTTTTTGTTTTACGTTCAGCTTTTAGTTTAATCGCCTGAGGATACAACTTTAATACACTATCGAATTCTTTTGCATTTGCCTCCAGAAAGAAAGTAGACGTGTCTTTCGCGGTAGCCATTGTGAACGTTCTAAATGTACAACACTGCGTATTTAGTTTGACTACAGCGCCGAACTCGACGCGGCGGCAGCACCTGGCCAACTGGGCGCCCTCTCCCCACTCGCCGCCATCTTGTCGACTGAACCTCGCTATGACGTTCAATAATAATATTCGAAATACGCTTGGGACCGATATATTTGACCAAAATGTATGAATTTACTACAAATATAACTGATTATTTCATGATAAATCTAATTTTAATTTGCGTTTACACTGTTTTTGCATTCATGACGATCGAGTATTAGTACAAAAAATATACTCACTTGGCGTCACAAGGTTATGTCGGTCGCGTGGCGTGTTGAACATCGGACATTTGTCTGGCCTCCACCCACAGGGAGGAACGGGATGGGATAAAATAAATTTCATTTTGATTGTAAATCACAGCACCACACTTAAATACGAATTAGAGAAATGAAAATTTAATCACAAATGAACACAAGAAGCGAAAATGTTAGTCACGTCGACCTCGGCGCACTATCAATTTCCTTAAACGTGACGCAACACACGACACCGTTCTACCGAAACGACTTTGGTAAACACGCATATTTTCCGTTGCATTGCAGTACACACTGAGCTCAGAGTAGTCATGAAGTAGTAACTAGCGGTGTACATAAGGCATTTAGGTAGTAGGACGTACATATCACCGGGGTGAAACGTCACACCAATCGGCTTTGTTGTTTTGATAGATAGATCGCCTTGTGCTCTGATCCCTCTTAAATTTAGGTGTATTTTTGTATACTGTGTAGAAAATGTAAGTTTGGCGCCGTCATTATCGCCGCAGATCGCTATAGATTTATTACAAATTATTTACTATGTTCTATAGCATTCTCTGTTGAAAAATCGATGCCTATCCCGATCGATTTAGGGTTATTACGTTTGGTTAAAGACACTATTAATTAGGTAATAGAGTATTCCGGATTCTAATATTGATATTAAATTACCTAATATTCAATTTCGATTTATTGGTCTTTTACTTTTATTACCAGGTGCTTAACCACGTAGGTACCTAATTGTGGTATTTTAAATCGATCAGAAAAATACTTATTTTCTTCTAGCTTTTTTGTTAGCCTATTATTTCCCAAAATACGTGATCCCGTATTGGACTGTTGTAAGTAAACAATTAGACACCAAAGTAGTACAGACCGCTTCTACATTTATTTATTCTACTATACATTAAAAACCTATTTATAGTAAAGCAAAAATTTGACCATTGCCGATGTCCGTGGGCCGCCGGAGTCACTCTTTACTGTATGAGTTTGTCTAAATTTATTGACAACAAGAAAATATTTCTACTACCAGTACAGTATTAAACATTACTACTAGGTTTTCCAAACCGAAGGCTAATTATCAATTGGTGTCCACGTTATAAGCACACAATATGTAGTTTTATGAATAAATAAAGGGAAATTCTAACTATTTTGGGCATCGAGACCTTACAGACGTCATTTTCCTTCAGCTTTATCTATTTATACATCATTAATTAATTACAAAACTCGATGAATAACCAAAATAAGTTCATTAGTTAACTATTTACATCGTAGGTACTTACTTATAAACTACCCAGTTATTAGTATAATAATAGTTACGTTTTTCATCAGTAGGTAGTTAAATCGAGATTAATCTGGGTAAATAACGAAAGGAACTTAGTTTTAGTCTTTGAAGAATTATTTGAAAACAAATCGGTTTCTAGATGAACTCGATAATTACGATGAGATAATTTATGAGTATATACAATAGTTAAATGTTATTTGAGTTACATCAATAACGTATAACCAATGCTGTCTTGATTGAGAAAGTTTTATAAATTGTAAATAAATAGTTTTTTTTTAATCTGTTTTGATGCTACAGACAAAGAATGGAAAGAGCGCGGACTAGGTACCACGAAGTTGCTTAAGCACAAAGAAAATACCCAAAGAGTACGATTACTAATGAGACGTGAATAAACTATGATGAAAGAATGTGGCAATCATTCAGTAAAAAAATTTATGATATTCCAAAAAAATGCAGAATATAGAGAAAGCCGTAACGTGGTGCGCTAAAGACTTTTCAGAAGGAGAACTGATAACACAAACATTTATACAACTAACCTGTTTGTGTCTGAGTGATATAATATCACTTATTAATATAATATACCAGCCGTACTCGCCCGCTTCCCTGGGCATTTAAAATTAACATTATTATTTATTGTCATTATTATTAGGAAGTCCAACACTCATATAAATATTAGCCTATCCATTAAGTATCCATGTATTTTCTACATGGATTCCAAGTTTCAAGTCAATCGGATGCATGGTTCAGTAGTTATATATAAGTATATTAGTTAGAACATCCGTAAAAACCACTGTAGATTTATATAAGTATATAAATTAAACGTATATATTACTACGTATATGTATAAATTTTTCGTGGTACAGGGAATATTAGTTTGGGGCCAAATAGGCGTGTGTGATTGGTCCTGTATTATATATCATATATTTTTGCGACATATTTATGAGCGAAGAAGGGCAGTGATCAAAACCTACACTATAACGGCTGCCGGATCCTACAGACACCCAACATTAAGGAACACACACGTATTCGAAGTCACAACATAGAGATAGTTCGGCGGTAATCGTAAACCGCATGCGACACAATGAGCGATATTATATTCTATTAAATTAGACAACAATCAACGTCTAATGAGGATCGAAGATGAGACAGTTCGAGAAGATACTTGCCGTCTGCAATTAATCTACAATGATGATGGTACAAAAGCATACGGGTTCTAGAGAAACCACACCTTAATTACTTTAGATGGAAATTAGGGAAAGATTTTTAAGAAATTTAGTTGTGGTAATACTACAGCCGACTGTCGATATTTTAAAACTCAAGGGACCGCGGCGAAAAATTTTAAATTACCAAGAGTTCAAAAAAATCGTGTTTGAAATAAACAGGGAAGGAGGAATAAAATTAATTCGACCAGTGTTTATTGCATGTTGACGGGCAACATTGTTGCTTCAACTTCTAATGATCGAGGAGACCAATTGATTTTGTTATATTTGACGACAATTTTAATGGGATCCCGAAAACCTTTAAGCTTACGTGAAATTCAAATTAACTCGCGTCAAATTATTGAGAGTCGATACTCGTACGTGGGAACGGAGTAGAAGTCGGGACGCATCTCCGTTTGCTGACTAATAGGTCAGACTAATGTCATAACGAAAGGTCCTCTGGCTCGAAATCAAGAAGGCCTTTTATAATCACAGCTAGTGTATAATAATACCCAGATAGTGTATAATAATACCCCAAAGATAATAATAAGCAATCTATCAACTGAAATAATGTGTAAATATAAATTGACTGTGCCTACATGTTCAGTTATAGCAGATATGAGAATAACGTTATGATCCAGGTTATTGAACTCTTATGTATCCGTCCGTCAGGATATCAGGTTTCTGGGTCATGAGAGCGACCTCTGTTTTAAATGGGTCAAGGCGATTAGTTCGTGTCATCTCAAATAGGTCATTCATATTGACCTAAATAGGTATGCAGGTCTCATAAAAGTGATCCTAGTTCTTTGACATATACGTAAAACAAAGAACTGCTACCAGCTCAGTCAGGTATTAATTTCAAATTTATAATGGCAATAAAATTGAATCCCTATTGTGGGATTGCTTCACCAGTAGGCACTGTTTGATTTGAATTTGAAACGTCCGTAAGGGGTAAGACATCTGATATTCTCGCGACAGATGATATGGCTATTCCATACCCCAAATCCTGTGGGCAGGGCAGGGATCATCTTCTAAATGCAAATTTTTACTTGATATGCATTCGCTAATTACTTCCACGATGAAGGAAATTATTCCTTTTGACATCTATTAAGATGCAAAAAAAAAGTAAGTCGATAAGTTCCAGAAATCTTTATTTATCGTGATAGTAATTATTGGAATAAGCTATGTGCCTTACTGGTGACAGCGTCAAGGAGGAATTCCTTGACCTATTTTACGGTAGAGACCGGCCGAACCATTATACAATCCGGAAATCTTCTATAGACGGATGTATTGTTTATAATGTTGGTATCAGGAACTCCTTGATTTGTATATTGCTGATTGTAATCTGATATATTTGATACTAATTCGAAAAAAATACTTCCGAAAAAAATAATTGAGAATATTATTATTTCCTCCTCGAATTACAAAATGAGATGTTTGAAAACTAAGCTTGCTCAAATAAAGGTGGATAGTGAATTAAAGTTTTTTTTATAATTATTCTTACGTAATAATATGAAGAGCTCTTCATATTATTATTACTATTATACGAGATATTATTTAGATACTTATTAAATATACCCTTTAAAAATAAGTAGAAAAATCATTACAAAGTAAAAAGGAACAGCAGTAAATAATTTATTTCGGTTTGGAGTTAAGTTAGTCTAAAATAATTTCTGATTTGTGACATAAGATACAAGGTATCTAATTATCAATTTAAAAAGGTCTAAAGGGTAGTCTAGATATACGGAATTTTAAATCAAAATTCGTATTTAACTAAGACATAATACGAAATAAACGAACAGAACAGAACAAAAACCTTAAATCATTCACGAAACAAAAACACATTGTCCGTAGTTAATAATTCGCAGATAACGTAACAGTCTCGGTCCGTATTTGTTTTGCTCTGCTCACAAACGAAGCGATAACAAGTAACGTTCTATAGTTCCCGTTTACGACGTTAAATTTCCAACAGAAAATACATATAATAGGGTGCCAGTTGTTGAATGCGGACAGGGCCCTGAGCTAGGTTGTTCCGAGGGATCGTAACACAAAAACGAAGGGAACAAGCACCGCGAGGGTTCGGGTTTAATTTTTTTACGTCCGCGTCAGTGCCGGGCGGGGATGTTCGTTGGTGCTTATAGAACACGTCCGTCGGTTAAGGTGAATTTACATTACGAAATTAGTGGCATGAAATTAATTTCGTGACATTAGTTTTACCAACAGTTTCACGTGTAATTTAATACTTTCGTAATGCATTGCTTTAATTTCATGCATGCAATTTAGTTTCGTGCCCTGCGCGATTTTTTGGTGAAATTAGTGTCATGCAACTAATTTCATAGTGTAGACGCGACGTTAGTCCCGCAGGCAAAAATGTATGTTGATGATGGCTGACGCGCATAGGGGCCTGCTCAATTCCATCGTTTTTATTTTACGATATAAGGTACAACTTCACCAGCAATGATGACATACGTATTTTTTTAATTTGAAATTAAAATATATAATCTATGTNATTTTTTGGTGAAATTAGTGTCATGCAACTAATTTCATAGTGTAGACGCGACGTTAGTCCCGCAGGCAAAAATGTATGTTGATGATGGCTGACGCGCATAGGGGCCTGCTCAATTCCATCGTTTTTATTTTACGATATAAGGTACAACTTCACCAGCAATGATGACATACGTATTTTTTTAATTTGAAATTAAAATATAATCTGTGTTCGTTTAGTTTTTTTTTTAAATATGTAACAATATGGTATCATTTAATAATATGAATGATACTTATTCTAAATAAGAGATAAAACAAAAAAATCGTAATCACAATCACACGAAG